ACTTTAGTATCTAATCTTATCTAAAAGAAGCCCAAAATTATCAATAAGCATCTATCAATAAAAATGGAATATAATCAATCAATGATTAATTATTTAACTTTTATGAAAATACGGCAAAATAATAATAATAATAATAATAATAATAAAACTTATTGTCCTATTATTTATTTTAGTGTTTTCCACTTAAATACAAAAATAAAAATACCCACCCCATAGTACTGTAAATTATTACACACTAAATAATAACCTAATAGTAATTTATTTGCAATAATTAATTAATCCACTTAGTAATAACCCATTTGTGACTAAATTATTTTTGTACCATATAAAGGTACCCCAATAATTCACACCCCAAATTATGTTAAATTGGACATTTGTTAGCAAATTGTCTTCTGTCACTTATCTAAAATTAGAAATAAAAAATTTAAATAAATAAAAATGTGGAAAATATTTATTATAATTATAATTATAATTATTATAATGGGGTTGGCCAATTAGGTTGTACATTCTTGGCATTATTATTTCCACCACTAAAGATTGCATTGCCCCACTCTATATCTATATAACTGTACATATTAATAAAAATATAAATAATATTCAATAATACTCTCTCTCTTCCATAACTATGTATTCATTTGTTTTTTTCACGAGATTTTAAAAATATTAGTATTCTATTAGGATACAGTAGGAATAAAGTATAAATGACTAAAATAATCTTATTAGTAATGTGTGATATAAAGGTAATGACATTTGTGTAATATATTGTAAGTTGTAAGAGTATTTGTAATGTTAGGTAGATAGTCAATTACTAAAAAAGAAAATGGATATTTTATTATAAAATGGACTAAAATGAAAAAATAGATACTTTGTTATGGGACGAAGGGAGTATATATTAATATAATATATAACATATATTTTGATAAAATATTATATAATTTTATATAGCATAATATATTGTAAGTTAAGCATATAAATAAGTTATACAATACAACATAATATATAACATATTTTAATAACACATTATATATATATTTATATTTACGTAGCACAGTAAGCATATTATACAATATAGTAAAATATTCCCTCCGTCTCATAACAAAATATCTATTTTTCCATTTTAGTCCTTCATATAACAAAATATTCATTTCCTTTTTTAGTAACTGTACTATCTACCTAACATTACAAATACCCTTACAACTTACAATATATTACACAAATGCCAGTACCTTTATATCACACATACTAATAAGGTTATTTTAATCATTTATATTTTATTCATACTATATCCCAATATAATACTCATATTTCTAAAACTATGTGCAAAAAGTAAACGAATACTTGGTTTCGAGACGAAGGGAGTATATAATTCACATAACAAATGATTTTGTATAATACAATATATATTTTGTATCTTATGATAAAATAATAATCATTTTAAATTAATGTATTAATTTAGTCAAATCAGCACGAGCACGGGATGGAATCCTCAGAATTTCAAAAAGTAAAAATAAAATCTTAAAAGGTAGATTAAATTATTGATTTGCTCAATTATATTTTATAATTATTTTTGGTGGTTCAAATTAATTAAAGTGAAATGATTGAAAGTGATATTTTTGTATAAACTAAATATTATATATATTTTTATGTTATTTATGTTATAGTGCAAATATCTTATTATTAAAAGATTAGTTAAAAATTCCCTTTCTAGTTGATAATTTTTTCAGAGATTGTTATATATGAAGCGATTCTGATTTCATTCCAATTATTTATTAATAATAATAAAAAAAAACAAGTAAAATGTAAAAAAAAAAAAACATATATAGTAAACAAAAAATTTAAAAATATTTCTTTTTTGTTGAATTGTGTAAGCTTATTGAAATATTCATATGTTATATGTTAGGTATTAAAAGTTATATTATGAGAATATCTATTAAATATGATACCCCCTCCGTCCCCATGAAAGAGTGACGTTTGCTTTTTGCACGTAGATTTTTTAATATTAGTATTATATTGGATTGTAGAAAAAAAGACAAAAATACTCATATTAGTATAGTGTAATATAAAAGTAATGACATTTGTGTAATATATTGTAAGTTGGAAGGGTATTTATTATGTTAGGTAAGTAGTACAATTACTAAATTAGAAAATGATAACCTTATTTTGAAACGGACGAAAATAGAAAATGACAACATTTCAATAGGACGGAGGAAGTAGTTTAAGTCTAATTTTTTACAATGGCAACTATTGCAATTCTTTATAAAAATATAATATTGTATATCTTAAAACATTAAATTCAAATAAAGAAAATGAAAACCAAAATTTTAAAAAATAGATAATATAAAATGACAAATGATTTTTTATTTTTATTTTTTTTAAAATGTGTTTATATATATTTATGATTATTCCCTTATTTATTGCATGCTTGTTATTCAAAAAGATTTTTTTTTTTTTACACAATATTAAAAGATTTTATTCCCTAAATCGATTACCCTTTGCTTGTGTTTTAGAATATTCCGCATATGATTTATTTTTCAGAAAAAAAAAAAATCGAATGTAATATTTTAACTAGATATATATGTGTTGAAAAGAATACTTTTTGTGAAAAAAGAAATATATATATATATATATTCTATTTTAAAGATAGAATAAATTATATTAATATATATAAGTAAACTTTTTATAAAGAAAATATATATATTTTTTATTAAAATTATGTATGTCGAATAAATAATATTTCGAATTTGAAATTGAAATTAAAGACATCCTTTTGGACACACTTTAAGGACAACTAAATCTACCATTACCAAGTGGACAAAATAATTGAAATAAATTAACTACCCGAATGTAAGTTTTATTTAATTTTTACTATTTATAAGGATTTTCTCCTAAAAAAAATTATACAATCAAATATTCATTTTTATTTTTAACATTACATTAAAAAATTATATCACATCAAGATTTATTCATCTATTGTAATTCAAAACTCTTATCATTTACGATTTAAAATTCAACTTTTCAAATCTACAACAATCAGATCATCAAATTCAAAAAATTAATTCGATTCTCTATATTCCCATGGAATAATATTATAAAAATGTGAAATTCATGATCAAGAAGAATATATATTTTACCACTATTTATGTGTGTGTATATATATAGGGAAAAAATTATTTTTTGTCCAAATATAATAAAAATTCATCAATTTTGGCTCCAATATAAATTTTTTATCAGTTTTGGTCCCAATATAACCAAAACTCATCATTCTTGATCCAAATATAATTTTTTTTTTTTTTTTTTATCAATTTTAGTCCTTATATAACCAAAACTCATTATTTTTTGTCCCAATATAATCAAACTTTTTTTTTGTCTCATCGTCAACAAACCGACGGAAAATGCTGACGTGAACTTGCAAGATTGTGCAATTTCTTCGAATATAAATATAATGTTTGATTTCTTTTCACGCCAGCATTTTCCGTCGGTTTGTTGACAGTGTGAGACCAAAAAAGATAAGGTTTGGTTATATTAGGACAAAAAATGATGAGTTTTGGTTATATAAGGATTAAAATTGATAAAATTTTTGTATTGGAACAAAAAATGATAAGTTTTGGTTATATTTGGATCAAAATTGATAAAATTTTTATATTGAGACCAAAATTGATAAAATTTTGGTTATATTGGACTAAAAATGGTTTTTTTCCATATATATTTATATAACCTCGTTGCTTGTATTTTCAGAAATCTTCGTATACATTATGAGTTATAGTAATTTATTTAATTTAATATTAAACTATATATATGATATATATATATATAGAAAATCTTAATTATTTATATTATTAAAAGAATTAAAATTAAAATTAAAGAAAACCCAGATTGAAAAAGTTTTTAGAACAGAAATTTGGGCTGGCGTTAGGCCCAAGTGTAAAAACTTGACATATTTTAAATGCCCATTTCATACTCGTTACCAATTCCCTAAACATAACGTTACTTTGTATTTTTAGATGTAATTACTAATATAAAAATAATATTTTATATTTAATTGTTAATTTTTGGTAAATTGATAAAAATATATATTATAACTATTTTATTAATATTTGTATATTACATTTTTAAATATTATTTGTGGGCATGGTTTCACTTCAAAATGCTAAGTGAGCAAACCTCACAGGTGTATTTGATAGGGGTTTGGATTTTGAGTTGAGATTTGAATAGTAAAAATTTTGAATTTGAAGTGTTGTACGATGTGATATAAATAGGCGTTGATGTGTGCTGTTTTGAATGTAAAATTAATTTTTAGTATAATAAAAAAAATAAAAAAAATAGGTATCTAATTTGATTTTTTGGAAAAAAAAATATGATAAATAGTATATTGAAAATCCAATCCCCCAAACAAACAAGAAAATAAATATATTATATTAAAAATATATAAAAATAATTGAGAGTACTTTTAAAAATCAAAGCATATTGTATGCTAAAAAATATCAATTCAGCATGCTAATCTTTAATTACTATGTTGAGTCTTAAAATATAATAAAATTACTAATATTTTTATTATAAATAAATATTTAATGGACACTTAATAAATTTAAAGAATATAATAAAGCCAATGTTGATTTTTGATTTAGTTATTTAATATTATATTTTATATAAAAAAATATTATATTTTTATTAGAGGTTGTAAGACCAAACAGTGGAAATGTGGGAGAAACATATAAAAAGACATACATACATTTGTCACAAATAACAATATGATAAGAAATTTCATGGTGTGTGCTCTTTTTGTATTCTAACTTTTATTTTTCATGTAAATAATAATTCAATATGATTTTTATAAGAGAATAAAATGTTCATATATATATATATATATTTAAAAAAATAATACAATCCACACAGAGGGGAAGAACCACAAATGCCTAGTTAATAAAAAACTAGGAATATTTAGTATAATAATTTTAATCTAATCATTATTTTTTTGAGATTTAAATAAAAAACAAAAGAAATACATAAAATCTAATTTTCTACTATTTCAAATAATAAATAGATAAGAGTAGAAATAAGAAATTACAGGTAGGGTGGCTAACCATGGTTAAAAAGAGAGCTGACCAACCCAAACACAACACAATTTTATATACAAAATTGACCAACTACGAACCTAACCTCACTAACCCTAAACCAAACTACGGTTTACGGACAGCCCTGCAATTGCAAAAAACTTCATTGCAAGGGACTAAAAAAAAAAGAAAGACGACTTGCACTAATTTGCAGACGAGGACTCCAACTCTCACCCAATTATAAAGCGTCCCAATCAATTTCATACGACGGGTATTTGGGCAGCGACCCGATTTCCCAGCCGGGCTCTTCCTCCGCCGGGAAAGTCAAATCCGACTCCGGCGACGACGCGCCGCTCACCAATTCCGACGCGTCGGGCTTCTCCTCCGCCGCCGCGACGGCGGCGGCGGCGGACTTCTTCGACCTGACCTTCTTCGCGTCGACGCTCTTCCCCTGCGCTAGGGTTTCGCAGATGGCTCGCAGCTTGGCGTCGACGGCGGCGTGGAGCGGCTTGTAGCCGCCGACGTTGGAGCCGTCGTGGCGGAGATGGGGAAAATTGAGCCTGGCGAAATCCCCCCGGAGCATGTGCGCCGCCGTGTCGTACGCCAGCGCCGCCTCCTCCGCCGTGTCGAAGGTGCCGAGCCAGAGGCGCGTGCGGTTACGCGGCAGCCGGATCTCCGCCACCCACTTCCCCCAGTGGCGCTGCCGCACTCCCCGGTAGAGCTTTTCCGGCGACCCGACCCGCTTCATCGGCGCGGATCTCGGCGCGAGATAGCCAATCCGGGCCGTCGGATATTTGGCCCATTGGTCCCGGATCTCCTCCATTTGGGCCTCCGATAATTGGTTCAGCCCAATAGAAGGGGCAAAATGGTCATTTCGGTATGATAATTGTGTAGAGGTAGCAAAATTGGGTGTGGAAGAATCACTTCTGGTGAAAGGTTCAAGTGCTTCCATTAATTCACCACTCCATAAATCCATCAACAATAAAATAAAAACCCTTGTTTTTGAATAAAATTTGAATAACAAGGAATTGGGTTTTAATTTTCAATCCTCCAAAATCTATTCAAAGAAAAGATAAAAATTGAATCTTGAAATGAGGGGCAACAAATAAACCCTCAAATTTAAAACACAAATCAAGAAAATCAAAGAGGGAATTTTATATGAGTGAGTGAAGTGTGTGCAAGTGAGAATTTTCTAAAGCTTTTTTTTTCTGTAATGAAATTTCAATCGCCATTGCAATGCTCTTTATATATAAATTCTTGGCGTCCGTACATTAATGGAGTGTGTCGGGCAGTCCCGGTTTCTCGGATCGGACCGGCCAATAGGAAGGCGACACGTAAGATGAAACAGGAACGTGCCGGTTGCGGCCGTGACAGGTGGCGGTGAAGATTGCTTATTCCGAGGCGGTTGTTGTTGGGAACGCGGATTCACACTTGGATTGTCGTTTCCCGTTGGTGTCTTTGTCGTTTTATTATAGTTTGCTTTCGCTTTAAGTGACCGTTACTTTTAACGCCGTCAGTTATAAATGTGGAGTTTACACGGAAACTTGTGGGCCCCCACTCGTAGGCAAAGTCCATTTTGCGGCGCCATTCACTCAAATAAAAGGGCTTGTTTGGTTCTTATCTAAAATTCATTTTCGAAATGAAATGATTTTGAGTTTTTCTAAATATTATTTATCCGGACTCGACTACAAGGTTCGTTTATCTTTTGTTTCATTATATTTAATATTATATATTTTTATATTTTTTTATAAAAATATTATTATAATAATATTATAAAATATTAATATAAGTAATTTTGTCATTTTTTTTAATTTGTACTATATTTTTATATAGTAATTAATATTTAAGTATTAATACACAAAAAGTAAATAAGACTCTTCAAATCGGACGAAAATAGTATTTTAATTTGATATTTAAAAAAAAAATATATATTTTTGTTAAAAATTGTAATAAATAAATAATATTAATTTTAATGGGGAATGAGGATGTAGTCCAAAATAGCGAAACCCTTGACCTGCGGCCTTTTTTTTTTTTGAATTAAAATAATTATTTAATATAATATTATAATTTAAAACCAATTTTTAGAATAATATGAAAAAAGAATTAATTTAATTATATATTTTATTTTGAATATTTAGTTTTTTTTTAAAAAAAATAAGAAAGTTAATTTAATTTAATATTTTTTTAGAAATTATATACTATTTTTTTAAAAAAAAATTAACAAGTTAAAATAACACTATTAATGCCACTCAAATAGTAGACAATAGTCTTTAATTTTGACTATGACTTTATTTTATGTCCAAATCACATGTCCCTTTCTTACGAGTGAATTTTTCAAATGTTGTTTTTAAATAATAGTGTACTAGTATATTTTAAAAATGTTTTCAAGTTCTAGATTAATTTTAAAATAATAAAATTAAATAATTTTTTTTTTTTTTAAATATGTTCAATGTTATGTAGGGTATCTAATTTTAATACTCCACTAATTTATAAATGTTTCGTGAGTGTGAACATGATCTTCAATTTGGACAACGGTCATTTATCAATCACTCATCTTTGAATTCAAACGTTGGATCTTATCAGTCAAAGACATATTTATGACTTGTGACCAATTTTATTTTATTTTATTTTTTTTCTAATATCAAATTAAATAATTATTTATATATATATATATATTATATTAAAAAAAAATTATTTTATATTTAAAAGATTATATTAACCTTTATTTATATGACATCAAACAACTATTAAAATTCAATTTTTTACTATTAGAAAATTCAAATTAAAAAATAAAGACCCACAAACAAACACACTCTTAGTGTATCTATATTATGTTTTTGTTTGTTTTATATCGTAAGTCATTTTGTTTTTCTAAAAAAATCACACAGCTTAGTTTCATTTAAACATTTTTAGTTTTATACTCTATCAGTATCTATTTATTTTTTTTTTTGTCAACTGTTAAAAATATTTTTATATTTGTATAATATTTTATACAGATATTATTATATTTATATTATAGAACACTAAGAAAAATATTTTTATTTTTTCTCTAATTTGTTTTACATATAAATATAACATTAATATTTAAAAAGTAAATGGATATATGATTAAAAAATTATCTTATTAAACGGAGGAAATATTTTTTAAAATTTTAATTAAATTAATTAATTATTTTAAATTCATAATTATTTATATTATCAAATAATTATTTTCATTAATATATTATTTATTAATTATATAATATATCTTTTTTACATTTAGAGGGATCGGAGTAAGCCTTTTGTAGAGTACAATTAATAAATAATTAAAAATATATTAATAAAATATATATAATTTAAATATAATTTTATTAAAATTAAATTTTAATATGACAAATAAATAAAAGTTTATAATTCGATAATTTGAATCCACTGTACCAAAGGGCGAACAAATCCTTTACGGACAGTACAATTCTCATTACACCACAAGCTCATAAACAAATTAAAACAAAAATCAATCAATCCCTATACACGCACACACACGTATAATACATAAATACATACATTTTACAAACCCAACAGCTTCCAAAAACCCAGCTGTTAATTACACCCAAAAACCATTCCTTGCATTGCATTTTTGCATGCACATCATCTAAAACACACAATCCAAATACTCATTACCATACCTTCTCCTCCTAAACTCCAACAAGCTCCCATACATCCTGTCCGCAACTCCCACAAACAACGCCTCCGTATCGGGACTAAACGATATCCCCGCAATCTCCCCGAACATGTCGATCTCCTGCCCCGTCCCGTACCCTGACTCCGCATCGTACACGTGAACAAAATCCGCCGGTTCCGCAATCGCCAAGAACCGACCGTCCGACGTGAACCTCACTGTCCGGATCGCACCCATTCTTCCCTCCAGCACCGCCACCGATTGCGCCGGGTTTCTTACATCCCACAATCTGCATGTCCTGTCCTGATTCCCCGTCGCCAGGATTCGTCCGTCCGGGTGCCACGCCGACGCGAATGAGTAGTCCAAGTGACCCGTCAGCCCGGTTATAAATTTCCCGGATTGCGCGTCGGCGATTAGGCATTCGGGATTGTCCCCGAGAACTGCGACCATTTTTCCGTCGGGGCTGACGGATGTATTCTGTGATAATAGTAAAAAATTAAGTATTTGGTTTGATAATAACGTCGATGTATTTAAAGAGCGATAGATTTTGCTTACATTTACGGACCAAGGGAATGCAAATCGGTTTAAGCAGACGAAGTTTTCGGTGTCCATGACTCGGACATTGGCGTCGTTGTTGGCTGTCATTACCGTCAGCGCGCCGCTGCCGACAAAAGATCACGGAATACATTGTCAAAGACATGTCGAAAGACGAGAGAAGAGAAAAGAAAAGAAAAGAATCGTCGCCGCGATTGTATACCTAGGATTGCGATATATATCGACTGCATTAGTAATGGCATTTTCATCTGTCGATACTTTTGTCGAGAAGGCGACTCCCGGCTCATTTAGACGCTGCAATTAATCGACAACAGAATAAATTCATCTTACAGAAAAGGTACCGTATGGAGTTGTGTCGAACGAGACACTACCTTACAGATAAGCTCTCCCTGGAAACCACCGGCGACCATTAGATTGTCCTTAACGGTCATGGTGCTTATCTGGACTCTCGAAAGAGGTTGCGCTAAGCATCCGGGATATTTCTGGTCGAAGATATGAACGATCTGTAAGAACATAAGCCGGAATCGAAGATGAATGGATTAACTTGTTTGAAAGAAACTCACCAAGGTAGGTGTGATGGGTTTGGCGACATTGAGCACTTCTTTACTCTTCCTTAGCAGGGAAGACCAGTGCATCACCGAGTAGTTTTGCATTAGGTAGACATCGTGTTTTGACGTCGCCCAGAGAAGATTCCGCAGCTGAAAAGGCGAAAAAAGTTTCGGTTATACAAAGCATTTATCGGGAGATGGAGCTACAAACTACGGAAGCCGACGACAGAAGAAGGAGAAAAGTGGCAAACTAAAGATCATGTAAATTTAACTAATGAACGGCTATTTTTCGATCATTTCGGAAAAGTAAAATGGGCGGCCAAATTGAAACTCGGAAGGCTGTGTTATTATAGAGCTACATGCAAGTTAGTTACCAAAAAGATTTCAGACAAAGCAACACAATCATCGCAACAAAATCACCACAATCGAAGCTACCGAAGAAAAGAAAAGATGCAAATACACAAGTGCAGCAAAAATCGGAAGCGACACACTATAAAGTCAAAAACAACAAATTCTACAAATCAAGAACATGGCTATGGTCAGGAATTGCACAGATGCTAGAAAAGAAAACAACATCAAATGGCCAAACAAACGCTTCAGCAGTTAGTAATGCAGTAAGATGCCAAATGGAAATCAACGAATCATAGACGAATCATAGAAGAATTCTGTTTCTCGATCCTACTCCATAGCATTAGTAAATACTCACAGTGCACACATGCATTATCTAAATCAAGAAGCTTCAAAGCGCGAAAAACGACGAAATTAATAATATCTTGTCGCCAAAAACTAAAACTATATCGCGTAATGCTCGTATAATCCCCCGGCATACCATATGGAATGATCTTGTACCGTCCAGCTGCTTGGAAACAAAAACTGCAGTCCTGCTCTTAAGGCTGAAATTATGATAAAAATACCAATCCCGTGCCATAGGTTAAATTATAAGGATGGTTAAGCGAGAATACAATACATTACAAAAGAACTTCTGAAGGCGTAGAAATATCATACGCAACATCATAGCATGTAATCAATTTAAATGTCGGGTAACAGAGACTAAAGGTATAATAGATCGAAACGCAAAAGTGAAGTCTTCCATAATATTGAAGAATCGAATCCCTCTGTTTGGGAACGATTCTGTATAGCTGAAGCAAATAATGACATTGAAAACAAACTACAAAATTTAGATGTGCAAAAACTACTATACACATTACCAGTACCACGCCCATTTTATCAATTTTATCCCTTCACCTGATTCCTTAACAAAATAAATAGTTTTCTTTTGTGAATTTTTACCCTGAATTTTACTATTTATCTAATTCCTTTTTTAAAAAAATATAAAATCAAACTCCTATTTTTTAGATTTTATATTATACTAAAAATTAATTTTACATCCAAAATATCACATCACATCATATAGTTATTCTAATTCAAAATTTTCACTATTCAAAATCCAAACAATCAAAATAACAAAAATACAATTAGTATTTAATACAGTTGAGTGTGTTCAATTATGAGATTTCTACCCAAAATTTACCACTCATCTGATTTTTTTATTTTAAAAAAATTAAATTAAATATCAAATTTTTTATTTTCTATATTATACTTAAAAATCAATTTAAAATTTCAAATATCACATCAACTATTACATCGTACAACTATTTTAATTCAAATATTTTACTATTTAAATTTCAACTCAAACTCCAAACACAAATCAATAACACCCTGAATGAAATGGGTATATATGCATCCAATAGTGAAAGGTCATAATACAAAATTAAAAAAAAAAAAAAAAAAAAGCAGAAGCAGTAGTTAGATCTTAATGAAGATGTCCTAAATGTTAGTTGTTATGCACAAAAGATGAGAGAAAGTAGCGTTATTGTTAGCATCGACATAAGTAGACCCGACAAATAGGGCGATAGAAATTGGACTCCATGTATGTTCTTCCAAATATACGATGATGAGAGATGCAATTCGACCTATGAACAGTTGATCGCCATAACAATTTTCCAATCCGAAATTTTTAACAGTCAAAAGTATATGAAACCAGTTGAGATCATTACCTGAAAATGAACTATTGTTGATTTGACAAGCCTGGTATTAAACTGAAAATCATAGAAGTTATGGCCTTTTTCCACTTCTTTGCACTCCTGCCAAGAGTAATTAAACATATTAGCAGGATATCATCAAGTAAACTTCAATAATACTCGAGTATATGTACAATAAGTTTCAGATTTACAAATTGTATTGACGATATGAACGCATAGGAGATTCTAGATCCACTACTTAACTTGTTCTTAGAGATTCAAATTTTACTCTTCAAAATCCATTTCATGTATATCTTACTCAGTTGCTGCTTGGATGATACCTTTGTTTTGCAAAATATTTTATATATAATGATTAGATAACAATAATCTACACAGAGGAGCATCACAATAAGGAATGAGTATAAGAAATTAAAAGGCAGCTTAGAAATGAAAATACCTTCTCAAGATCTTCGCGAGAGCTCGAGAGACACTCGTAATTTTTGTATTGCTGCAATCGCGATTCTCGGTATCCTTCTCTAGTAAAATTGAGCCTCTCCCATGGAATACCTTGAATATCTTTTCCATTCCTTGCTTCTAACGCCGATGTGTCGGTTTTCGGCTTGATCTGTCGTTCAATTAGAACATTTCAAAATTAATATACAGAGAAGAATCGAATCACCAATGAAATCATAAAATTAAACACAAACATAGGAACAAGATCTTTTACCAGTTCAAAATCATCCTCAAAGTCGGAATCCATATCATCGTCATCACCATCAGTGGAGCCAATTCTGCTTCGCAGCGAAACGTCGTCGTCTTCAAAATCAGAGACGTCATAGTAGTCATCAACCACAAACTCCAGCTCGTGATTCGGAAATTGCTCCATAGTATCACTACACTTCACTTCTGCAAAAACTACTCAAAATTCAGAATCTAAAGAATCAAAACAATATATATATATTATACGCTATAAAACGATTGACTGCATGGGCGTACAGCGATCCAAATTCCAGAACCGAATCATCTTCCACCAAAATAAAAAATCACAAAATCAAAAACTTACCTTACGATTATAAGCAAAAATCACCAAAAACAAAAACTCGAATCCGTCTATTACTTCTTCCTCCGGCTTCTGGAGACTGAGAGAAGTGAACTCCGCAAATCAAAACTTCCTTAGAACAAAGAAATCAAAAACTAGTCACAGAGCATACACGAATGCAGCCGTGAAACTTATAGACGTACACTCCGTTAACGGCGTTAAAGCAAAATCGTACATCCGCGTGCACTGCGGGCGTGTGGGGTCCACTCCAATTTCACACGGCCGTCAACCCGCCGTTAGTCCAATTTAAACGACAAGCGTTTAATTCCCATAGGACAAAAGCGTTACTTAGTCGACACGCTTTTATCGATAATAACCGTTAACGGCAAAAACAGTGCCGCCGTCGGATGGGATATGACGGGGACACTTCCTAAAGCAACACCTGGCAGTTAACGCCGTCAACCGCCGTAGTCTAGGCAGAGAAATATCAGGTCAAAAATTAATACGTGCATGACTCATCGATTTTGTGGGCCCCGCCGGAATAAAGATTGGAGGGACACGTGTCGAGCGGTGGGTCTGTGATCTGACCACGTGGCCACGGGCAGGTGACGGAGCATTGATTTTGTCGCCAGCGGAAGGTAGTGGAAACTTGCGGTGTGAAAGTGACTGACGCCGTTAAAAAATTATATTATAAAAGTGACTGACGCCGTTAATCAAGCGGTGTTTCGGTTAACCCTGGTTTAGATGGTGGTTGGGTCGGGTGGGTCGGGTCAATAGGGTCTTGGTCGGTTCGGGTGGGCCCGTTTAGGTGCCAACCGACTTTCTTTTTCCTAATTAATTATTTGTTGTTAGTTTCCCTTTTTTTTTCCATACACAATTAATTATTTGTTGTCCTCCCTTCGAGTCGGCAATTTTCAAATATAATAATTTTTTCTTTAAAAGTTATCCACATTATATTTATTACTATTATTTAAAATATCGTAATGGTTAGTTTCCTTTTTTTTTTTTTTTTTTTTTTTCATACACGATTAATTTTTTGATGGTTGGGACGATGGGTGAAAGTTTTATTGATTTATTATATGTTTTATTATACTTAATATTAAAAATATTTTTTATTTATAATTTTTTATATAAATTTTATTATATTAGTATCAATATATAAATACTTTTTGCCTTTTTTTATTTATAATATATTTTTATATAATAATTAATATTACTAAATCAGTACGTAAAAAATAAATAAATATTTAATTAGGAGATGAAGTGAGTATTATATTTTACATTTATTAGGAAATCTAAAAAGACACTTTTGGATTGAAATAGGGGAGAGTATAAGATAGTGGAATTGATAAGGGTGACATAATCTTATCTTTGACGAATTTGAACTGTCATTAATTGCTCTAAATAGGCAAGGGCCATTACTTGATCATGATAAATATAAATATTAAAAAAAAATAAAAATATTTATTTATTATTATTATTATTTTTTTATATTTTGTAAGTGAAAGTGATGATCTAATAGCGTGATGATTGAATTTATGATTGTGAGGTTATATAATCAAATTTGGATGTTTTCAGTCCACTTGTCATACATGGTTCACCTAGTATGACTTGCATTGTCTGATCTAATTTGCAGGGTATTAGGTTCAACCGAAGGTTTATCCGAGTATCAAAAAAATATTTTTTTACACTATTTTTAATATATAATATTCCCTTCGTCCATAACTAGATATTTATTTTTTTTAAGTAGTTTTAGAAATATTAGTATTATATTGAAATATAGTAATAATAAAATAGAAATGACTAAAATAACATTGTTAATATGTGCTATACAAAGGTAATGATATTTGTGTAATATATTGTAAATTGTAAGGGCATTTATAATATTAAGTAGATAGTACAGTTACTAAAAATTTATATGACGGACTAAAATGAAAAAATAGATATTTTGTTATGGGACGGAGGAAGTAGTATTTTTATATATATTTTTATAAAAAAACAATAATTTAAAATAAAATATTATTTACTTATATATTTAGTATTATTATTTATATTTAAATAAAAATATATCTCAAATTAAAATACTGAATAAATATATATAATTTTAAATATTATATATACATAATTTTTATTATTATTTTTATTCGAGTCCACCGTCATAGGCAAGCAATTGGTCTTCAAAAGCATCTGCATTAATTGAATAATAGAAAATTAGTAAAACACAGCTAACTTTATACAATTTTATATACATTTTCTTTTTTAAATATGATATCAAATACTCCCTTCGTCTCACATACCGAGTTTGCTACACTGTAGATACGATATTTTATGAGGATGATAATTAATAATTAGTGAAAATAATTACTGTATAATATAAAAAATTATAAATTAAGATTAAAATAACTAATTAGTTTAATTAAAATTAAAAAGAAAATACAAAAAATTAAAATGAGATTAAAGTATGTAATCATTTTCTAAAAAAGGAAAGTGACATGGAACGTGGGACGGACAAAAACGACAATGTGAGCATGGTATGTGGGACGGAGAAAGTACTATTTATTTTTACTAAAATATTATAGGTATTAAATATTTTTTTACTATTTTTAAAGTTCTGAAATTTCAAAATGTTTAAAACTCTTGTCTAATCAAAAGTTGTTCGATTTTGATTTAAATCAAAATTACTATTATTCTATAAATCAAAATTTAAAATAAAATTTCAAATTCAACTAATTAGTGTTTCTTTAGTATTTGAAAATTTTAAAAATATTATGTCATATTTTATGAAAAAAAATATAGAATTTAAATAATAAAAGTTGATAATAAACTTTAAAGAAATACAACCTTTTATTTTATTATTTAATTTTTTTTATTTATTTAATTTTTAGCGGACATGTATAAATTATTATTTAGTTTTTTTTTTTAAATACAATTAATTAGTTGAATATTGAAACACTTGAATAAAAGAAGCACCAATAGAAACACGCCACCTGGCCCAGTGAAATTTTGTTGGACAACTAAGTCTCAATGGGCCCAAGTTACCGTTGGGGTGGGTTTGTTTGTTCGTTAGTACTTTTCCGCGTGTTCATATAATTATGTTTGAATTTAGTACTACGCTAAATTTACAACATTTAAGTAAGTGTGACACGGAAAATTTAAAAATAAATAAATAAATAAAAAGGGAATTGAAAATATTTTTCAAAATTTAATTAAAAATGAAAGAAAATAAAAAAAATATATAATAAAATAGCTACATTTGTTGTAAATAAAAATTGAATGAACGATAATAAATAAATGTTAATTTATTGATTTTTTAATGCAGACTAAAAAAAAGAAGTATATTTGAAAAAGAAATATCAAAGTATTATGACCTAAATGAATCAATTCGTATGAACTGTGGGTTGAGGGTGAATTAGCCGATAATAGTCATATATAATTATTAGTATATTTTTAATACCCAATTCATACCAAATATATATATTTTTTATTTTGTTATTTTAATACATCTCAAATCAATCTATCTAATTTTTTTTAGTTTATATTTACAATATAAATTTAAAAATAATGTAAGAACTTAAATATTATTATAAAAACATCAATATTACAGGGTAAATTGTTTTTTAGTCATGTAACTGGACCCCTTATTATTTTAGTCCCGTAACCGGACCCCTTATCATTTTAGTCTCGTAAGTGGAGCATGTCGCAAACTAGTCCTATAAGTGAAAAAATTTCGCTGTTTTAGTCCTCCGGCGCCGGAGATGCCCGCGTGGCTCGCCGGAGGTGACGTGTCCGTCGGGTCAGCGACACGACCTGGCAGACACGTGGAATTTTTTTTTTTTCATTTTTTAAAAACTTATTTTTAATTTTATTTGTATTTTTTTATTTGGTCCAATTAAAAAAAATTTTAAAAAAATGAAAAAATTAAAATAAATCCACGTGAACCTGGCGGACACATCACCTCCGGCGAGCCACGCGGGCGTCTCCGGCACCGGAAGACTAAAACAACGACAAATTTTCACTTATGAGACTAATTTACGACAGGCTCCACTTACGAGACTAAAATGATAAGGGGTCCAGTTATAGGACAAAAAAAACAGTTTACCCATATTACTATTTAATTAATTTATTTTTACGAGTAAATTTGATTATTCATAATTTTAATACTATAGGCATATAAAATATTAATATAAAAAAGTTAAATGCAAAAAATAAGCGAATATATATATGCATATAAAAACTTTTACTCTCTCCATCCCGTAACAAAGCATCCATTTTTCCATTTTAGTCAGTCCCATAATAAAGTATCTATTTCTTCTTTTAGTAACTGTACTATCTACCTAACATTACAAATACCCTTACAACTTACCATATATTACACAAATGCCATTACCTTTATATCACAAATACTAATAAGGTTATTTTGATCATTTTTACTTTATATCTACTATATCCCAATATAATACTAATATTTTTAAAACTACGTACAAAAATAAAATGGATATTTATTTTTAAGACAGAAGGAGTAAAATATTTTACATTATTACTCTCTTTTTCCGACTATATTTTATCTTACATTGGCTCCTAAATAATTAGTTTATTTACGAATTATGTAGGTTCTAGTAAAATTGTCTAGTTAATCTATTTTGACAGCTATGCAGCAAAATTTATATTATATTTCAAATTAATATATATATTTTTTAAATGAACCTATTTTTTTAATTTTTTTTTAGGATCAAGAGATTATTAATTTTTCGAATAATATTTGTAAGTATAATGTCATTTATTTATTTCTTAGAAGAGCACAGCCTCAAATTTCAGCCCAAAAGATGATTTGCAAAATTGGGCTGAAATTTTGAGCCCAATTACGACATAAGGGCCTAAGAAGAACCTTTGACAATTAATCAAGGGGCATTTTGGTATTTTCCTATAACTTTTCAAACAATAAGGGAAAAACATATATAGGGATATTCTTTTTAAAATTTAGAATGTGTAATTAATGCAGTACTTATTTCGTAGTCATAATAATGAATGCAGAATGATTTAAGGCTTCCTTCCTAAATAAAATATTAAAAAAAAAATCACAGATTTTCCACGTCGTCTTCTTCAATGCATCGTTTAAATAAATCTTTTCAGTTTCTTTGTTTACGTACGAAGCAAAATAGCAAATGGAAATCCATGGCGGAATGGCGTCTCTCCTCTGCATCACAGCGCTGCTCTCATTCACTCCGGCGGTATCAGGCGCCACCACTGCTCCGCCGTTCTCATGCGATTTGTCGAATCCATCGACGAACTCGCTTCCTTTTTGCAACACCAAGCTGCCAATTGACGCCAGGGCAAAGGACCTCGTGTCGCGCCTGACAATGGACGAGAAGGTTCAGCAGCTAGTGAACACGGCGGTATCCATCCCTCGCCTCAACGTCTCAGCTTACCAGTGGTGGTCGGAGGCTCTGCACGGAGTTTCGCGCCACGGCAAGGGCGTCCGCTTCAATGGCACAATCAAATCCGCCACTATGTTCCCTCAAATCATCCTCACCGCCGCCTCCTTCGATTCTAACCTATGGTATCGTGTTGCTCAGGTATGGATTTGGAATCCTCCAACTGTTCGATGAAATGCTCCTTAGCAAAAAGAAAAAAAAAAAATCCCCAAACAGGAAATTAGGGTTTTTAACTAGAGGTTTATGAATTATGCACGATTTGGTAGGCAATTGGGGAAGAGGCGAGGGCGGTGTTCAATGCAGGGCAGGCAATGGGGATGACATTTTGGGCACCGAACATTAACATATTGAGGGATCCAAGGTGGGGAAGAGGTCAGGAGACGCCTGGAGAAGATCCATTAATGGCGGGGAAGTATGCAGTGGCGTATGTTAGGGGAATTCAGGGGGACAGTTTTGAAGGAGGGGGGCTAAAGGATGGGCATCTTAAAGCCTCTGCTTGTTGTAAGCATTACACTGCTCATGATTTGGACAACTGGAAAGGAATGAATCGGTACATTTTCGATGCCAAAGTAAGTGTTGAATGCTCTTAACTAACTTATGTCGAGTTCAGATTGTTGATTGCTTGTGATCTGCTTACATGGATATGAACATTGTGTTGTCTTGATCATCGAATGCCCGTAATCTTTGGTGTGAATTGGAATGTGTTTTAGAAGGCCGTTTGATAAGTTCCTTAATTGTTACTGGTATTTGGATGAGTTCAGATTGTCGATTACTTGAAATCGTTTATTGTATTATCTTGATTGTCAAATGCCTATGTCGATGAGGCCATGCGAAAAGTTTCTTTTACCATTGATAATATTTGGATGAGTTCAGATTGTCAATTTCTTGAAATTGTTTAGATGGGCACGAACATTGTATTATCTTGATCATCAAATGTCTATAATCTGTGGTGTGCATTAGAATGCGTCGATGAGGCCATCCGACTAGTTTCTTAATTGTTAATACGATTTGGATGAGTTCAGATTGTCGATTACTTGAGATCATCTAGATGGATATGAACATTGTGTTGTCTTGATCATTGAATCTCTATAATCTGTGGTGTGCATTAGAATGCGTCGATAAGGCCATTTTACAACTTTCTTAATTACTAATAGTATTTGGATAAGTTCAGATTGTCGACTACACATACATTGTATTATCTTGCTCGTCAAATGTCTATAATCTTTGCTGTGCATTAGGATGTTTCGATGAGGCCATTCAACAAGTTTCTCTATCAAATCTGCGTGTCGTGTGTGCGTGCGAAAATCGACTGTTCTTAATCCCCTTGTGTGAATTGTGGTTCAGGTCAGCAAGCAGGATTTGGCAGACACATTCCAGCCGCCATTCTGGGCATGTGTGAAGGAAGGACAGGCCAGCAGCATCATGTGTGCTTATAATCGCGTCAATGGAGTCCCCAGCTGCGCTGATCGTGGCCTCTTAACCGAAACTGCTCGCCAACAGTGGGGTTTCCGAGGGTAAGATTTTGATTCCATGGATCGTAATGTTTTAGTCGAAAATCCATCGGAATCTGATCATCACATTAACTTCACTTTTAATCAATCAAGGTACATTGCTTCGGACTGTGATGCCGTTGCAATTATACACGACCAGCAAGGCTATGCCAAAGAGCCCGAAGACGCTGTCGCAGACGTTCTTAAAGCTGGTACGCCAAACTATAACCTTACTTACATTCAGTCCTTAAGATGCATTCTTACATAACAGATTATCATAGAGAAATTCCGACAGAATCGTTAGTATACATTTGTTTTCGAGCATTTTCCTCGTGAATCGTTGTTTTAGACGCCGAGATAATTTGTTTAGTGTTTCTCGAGCATCTCCAAATCATTGTTCTTACAATGACGTCGAGATAATTTGTTTAGTGTTTTTCGAGCATTTTCCTTGTGAATCGTTGTTCTTACAACGACGCCGAGATAATTTGTCGACAAAAGTTCGTTTTCTATACCGTGTTTGAACAAGGACTGTTTCTATACTTTATATTCTTTCATTCGATAAATCTCGATTGATCTTGCGTATTTTCAGGCATGGATCTAAACTGTGGTAGCTACTTGAAGACGTACACGAAATCAGCCGTCGCAAAGAAGAAAGTATCCGAAGCCGAGATCGACAGAGCCTTGGAGAATCTCTTCGCCATCCGAATGAGACTTGGACTTTTCGACGGAGATCCGAGGAAGCTTCGATATGGAGACATCGATCCATCGAAAGTCTGCAGCCAAACCCACCTCGATCTAGCACTCGAAGCCGCAAGATCCGGGATTGTCCTTCTAAAGAACGACGCGGGTCTCCTCCCTTTCTCGAAGACCCACGTCGAGTCGCTCGCTGTGATCGGTCCCAACGCCAACACGTCGAGCGTATTTCTCGGAAACTACGAAGGCCTGCCGTGCAGAAACGTCACGATCGTTCAAGCCATCGGGAAGTATAACCTCACCCGCGTTACGTATCACCAGGGCTGCGACTCCGTCACCTGCGAATCACCGTCGATCGATCAAGCCGTGAACATAGCGAAACAGGCCGACTCTGTTGTACTCGTCATGGGACTCGACCAAACGCAAGAACGGGAAAAGCTTGATCGCATCGATTTGGGTATTCCCGGAAAGCAAGAAGATCTCATTACCAGCGTTGCCGCCGCAGCGAAACGACCGGTCGTATTAGTCCTGCTGACGGGAGGCCCCGTCGATGTATCGTTTGCGAAACGGAATCCGAAAATTGGTAGCATTTTGTGGGTGGGTTATCCTGGCGAAGCTGGAGGGATCGCCGTCGCGGAAACGTTGTTCGGCGACAACAACCCAGGTCAGTCCCCGTTACTTGTTACGCGTTTTTGTCAATTCTTTTATGAGTATATCGATTGTAGGGAGTTGAACTGGTTCTACGTCGATTCACAGGCGGTAAATTACCGGTTACTTGGTACCCGAAGGATTTTGCGAAAGTTCCGATGACTGATATGCGAATGCGAAGCGATCCGTCGACTGGATACCCGGGACGAACATATCGATTCTATAACGGTTCGAAAGTGTTCGAGTTTGGCCATGGCCTTAGCTACTCAAAACACTCGTATAAGTTTGATTCAATCGTCCCGTCGAGGATTTTTCTAAACGAGATGTTCGTTAAACGGGAAGAGGTTAAAAGACCCGGCTCGGTTCGATACGTATCGGTTTCAGAAATTGGAAGAAATTTGTGCGACGGAATGGCGATTGCAGTGCGGGTGAATGTGAGGAACCGAGGGCGGGTGCCGGGGAAGCACCCGGTGCTGCTGTTTGCTCGACACGACGGCGGCGGTGACGTGAAGCCGGTGAAACAGTTGGTGGGTTTCGAGAGCTTGAGCTTGAATCCCGGGGAGAGTCGACGGGTTAAATTTACGGTGAATCCGTGCGAGCATTTGAGCTACTCCGATCGGCACGGCTCGATGGTGATCGAAGCGGGCCGGCGGTACTTAACCGTCGCCGGCGCCGGCGCCGGCGGAATGGGTCACATTGACATAGTGTTTTGATTGTTTATCGATGAAGAAACCACCGCGAGAAAATCAAATTTGTGTTATCATGCACTTCTAAAATGTATTTTTAATAAAAATATTTTATATATCTTTATTTTTTTAACAAGATATTACAATTCAAAACCAATTAATACTAATATGGTATAGCCATTCATCCTTATATTGGATGGGGAATTTTCATAATTTTCCAGGAACAATATTAGACAATGAGAATGATTACGGTCATATTTTATTTAATTGTTTGTCATAAATATATTTATTTATTTATTCTTCATAAATAATATTTCAGCATTCAATGTATTTATAATAAAGACCATTCAATAAATTTTAAAATCACACATAAATTATAACAATATTTTTTTTAGATGCATATATTATATAATAGAGGAATATCCGATTTTTTAAATTTTTTTTTCGAATTCGAATTTTTATTTAGTTAGAATGTTGTGATATTTTGTTAAAAACAAAATGGAATATATTTCTATTAAAAATTATATAAATTGTAACAGTAATTTTGGTTTCAAATTAAAATAGAACACACCCATTGTTACCTTCCTATCCTAAATATGTGGAATTAAAATTTAATACAATGAATTCTTAGTGCAATTTAATAAAAATTCTTATATATGATCCAAAACCATGTACGTATTTAAATGAAGTCAACCTAAACTTACAACATGCAAAATTTATTGCATATTATTGAATCCAAATAATGTCACAACTAGCATTATTTATTTACTATATATATATATATATATATATATCCGACAAAAAAGCTCCACTTGCAATATGTGGGGCCACCAAAAAATATTTTCTAAAAAATAAAAAAATAAAAAAAATAAAATTAAAAGAAAATTTTTACTAGGCTCAACTAGGGTAGATTCATTTCAAACGTCACCTAAATAAAAATACAATAAAATAAAATAAAAGATTCAATAAAAAGATTCCAGTGATTCCCTCATAAATTAATCTGATTGGCTGTGAGTCCTAATTTTGCAGTGACAGCAATCAACGGTCCAGAATGTTTTTGATCAACGGTCCAGATTTCTTCCCCCATTTCTGATTCTCTGTTTTACCTTCTCAACTCACCACCGTCTGCACCATATATATACATGCACTCAGCTATATATATATGTATATATATGCTTGTGTGGAGATAGATTTAGAGAGAGAAAGAGGTGAAGCGCACGCGTGTGGGGGGAGGAGTGGAGGTGAGCATCGGATTCGAGCGGAGATGATGTTTGGGAAGAGAGCTGAGATGAAGAGGACGACGAGCATGACGGAGTTCGCCTTGGATTTCAGTCGGAGCGGAGAAGCTCTGTTTCAGCCGCTGGATCGGCAGATTCCTGCCGTCGCCGGAGTAGATCGGACGCTGCAGCGGCGTAGCTCGGCGGATTTTGTCCAAACCGCGCCGTTCTTAAGAGCTTGCTCGCTCTGCAGACGCCGCCTCATCCCTGGCCGCGATGTTTACATGTATAGGTAACGTACGCACATACATATATATTTCGATTTTTTGTTCAATCGAAGTGAAATCTCGATTCTATACATAGATATGTGTGTATTTCTGTTGTAACCGCCTCGTTGCTCATGTACTCGTTTTTTTATTTGCAAATTTTTGGTTGCGGAAGCTATAGTGCTTTAGATTAGAACAATCTCTATAAACACATATATATTTCAGTGGAAACCGTTTCGTTGTTTGTGTGTTCGATTTGATTCTACGATCTCATTTGATTTTATTCTTTTTCCAAATTTTTTGTTGCAGAAACTGTCATGCTTTCCGCAGATTAGTGGAAACTGTTTCGTTGTTTGTGTATTCGATTTAAGCATGTGATCTCCTTTAATATGTATATATATATTTTTTCAATTTTTTGGTTGCAGAACAATAATGTTTCTGCAGATTAGAACTGCATCGCTGTTTATGTATTCGATTTAATTTTTCTGTATTTGATCTGATCTGATTTGAATTTTTTTTGTTTGTTTGTTGGTGTGGTTGTAGAGGCGATAGTGCTTTCTGCAGCGTAGAGTGCAGACAACAGCAGATGAGTCAGGACGACAGAAAGGAGAAGTGCTCGCTGGCCATGGCATCCAACCAGGAACCTGCGGCCACCGCCGCCGCCGCCGCCGGTTCTCAAGTCTCCGCCACCGGCTAAAGCCGTCGCCACCGCCGGCGGCTATCATCGCCTCTTTCATATACGCTAATGTCTGTATGTATGTATATATATATATATATTACTCCTATAAGTTACCTGAAATTTTGATATGTAATTTGCTGTGGGAAATTATGCTCTAATTAATTAATTATAGAGCAAGCTATATATACTGTAATATTATGTGTTCTAGTAAAAAATTGCATAAGATAATCAATATTTAGTTTGTATATTTTATTAGCTAATAATAATAAATTATAATATTATTTTATTATTTTTAATAATTATACTATATATTTAATATAATAAATACTTTTACAATTTATAATATATTTATATAAATATTATTATTTTTATATTCCACAATACTAATAAAAATATTTATATATATATATATTTTTATTACAAATTAATATAATATTACATAAAAATATCTATTTGTAGAAAGTAAATGTTATGGGACGAGAGAGTATTTTATATTTAATTGTTATTTTTTATGAGGCAATATAATATACTTATATATATTGTGTTAATAGGTCTATATTGTATTTTCTTTTAAAAATAGACGAGGCCAAAGGGTTTCTTTGGTTTGTATTTTCACTTTGTATTTGAATGAATGTAATTTTTACTTTAAATTGTTTTTTTTTTAAAAATATAATATATATATTATATTATATAATGTTAATATATATTATGTATATTTTTTAAATTTATAGAAAATTGGGTCAATAAATATATTGAATAAATAAACCCATTGTATTTGATTTTTTTTTTTAAGTGGACCATCACTATTCTAATTAAATGTACTATTTACTTTTAGAAAATAATACATCCATATATTATACAAATAAAAAAGCTATTCATTTTTTAATTTAAATTTATACATGTATATATATATTAGTTGTTATAAAAAAAAATATTTTTTTTATATTTTTTACAATAAAAAGAAAAAAAATAAAAAATAAAAAATTATTTGTATTAAAATTTATATTTAAATATAATAAAAAGGCAAAAATATTAAACTCAAAAGAACATAATAAAAATAAAATAAATAGTAGGAATGGAAGCAATAATAGAGGAATGTGATGAGGTCGTTTTCCAATAGCTAATATTTAATATACTCAATTTACTACTTACTTGTCTGATTGATTGCTACAATTAATTAAATATTTTATTTAAAATAATAGTTTTAAAATTGTTACTATATTTATTTCATATAATGTAATATGATGACATTACTTTTATAGTAGTGCCTTTGCTGGCTCAACAAATTAAATATGAAGCATTTTTATATTAAAGTGCCTAATTTCATATCCAATTATTATTAAAGGGGTATTATTATTATTATTATTATTATTATTATTATTATTATTATTATTATTATTATTATTATATTGTACTCTAAATTAACAATAAGGTGTTTTATTATTATCATGGTTTTCTAAAATATATTATATATATGATTTTGTTTTATTTTGATTTGAATTTAAATTTTTTATATGAAAAATATTTTAATTTAAATTGATGCGAATTGATTACTGTTGATTTTAATTTGAAACCAAATAAACTCATTCTCTTACAAACTATACGATTAGATATTCTTTTGAATTATTTTATTACAATAATAATAAATTAATAAAAAATAAAATTTGAATAAAATGTTATAAATATAGAATACGATATATATATATTAAAATCTAAAATAATTCATAATAGCAAAGAAATAAATAATTTAAGTGACAAGTAAACATAATATTAATAAATTAATTGTTGGTATTATTTTATGCATTCGTTTATTGAATACTGACATAAGATGAAAGTGAGGTTTGGTCCCAACAAAGCAAAGCATTTTCTTATTAATTGTTGCCACTTTTTTGGTTTATTATTATTCTTTATTTTATTTTTATTTATTTATTTCTTCCATTTTATTTTCTTTTTATTATAACATAGGATATTATAGTTGACGTTTGGTATAGATTTTGAAATCCTCCCTCCTCCCATAAAGTATTCATTTGTTTTTTACACGTAGTTTTAAAAATATTAGTATTATATTAAGATATAGTAGAAATAAAATAAAAATGACTAAAATAACCTTATTTGTGTAATATATTGTAAGTTGTAAGGGTATTTGTAGTGTTAGGTAGATAGTACAATTACTAAAAAAAGAAAATGAATATTTTGTTATGGAACAGACTAAAATAAAAAAATGAATATTTTGTTATGGGACGGAGGGAGTATTTATTATTATTATTATTATTATGAGTTTTTTGGATAAATTGTGTTTATAAAGAAGAGTGAAATTATTAGAGTAAGAAATGAGAAAAATAAAAAAAACTAGCATATAGAATATTATATGTTACTATATAATCAAATACTATCTTCATTTAGTGTTTAAAATGTATACGAGCATAATTTAAAAATTAATAATATTTTAATTGTAGTGGATATTTAAAATTAGTGTAAAATTAATTTTATCTTTATTTTTTTAGTATAATAGTAATGATGTGATGATATTGTAGAAATATTTGTAAAAAATAAAAATAAGATTCATGATTACTAAAACAAAAAATGTATACATTAATGTGAGAAAGATGTCTACGTTAACGGCGAGACATATGAAGTATAATTTAGAAAATATTGTTCACTTTGTATTTTTAGTAATATATACATATTACACACTATAAAAAATTTAATATAAAAATATTAATTTTTATATTACCGGCATAATTACTCATACTTAACATAAAAAAAAAAAATACTATTATGAATTTTACGCACATACATATCATACTTTCTTATTCCGTCTCTAAAGGTCACATTTATCTTTTGAATTATTGTACTTAATATTAAAAATATTCTTATATTTGTATAATTTTTTTATACAAATATCCTTCTATTAGTATTAATAAGACAATAATTGGAGTATTTTTGCAGTTTTTTTTTTTAAATTTTTACTATATTTTTATATAATAATTAATATTTAAATATAAAAAAATAAAATAAATTGGACCGTTAGAGCCATACAAATATTATTAAAATAAGTCATATACAAAATATTCTACGCATCTAATTATTCTTAACACTGAGTTGGAGTCAATAATACTAATAATAATAATAATAATAATAATAATAATAATTTTTGTGGTATGAAATTATTTGGACCACTAATTTGATGCTTTGTCCAAGATTTTATCTCTTTTTAAAACTTCTGTTCTTGATTTGATTCTCTTTTCATTTTTATTTAAAGTTGCTACACTACACAACTTAAACATATCAAAAACTATTATACAATATATATATATATATATATATAATTCACTTCAATAAAATTATAATTCATAATTCTCATTATATACATATATAAAATTGCATCAATTTAAAAATTCAAGATTTTTTTTTTTTTTTTTTTTTTTTTTTTTTTTTTTTTTTCATTGGCCTTAAGCTCAAATGGCTAAAGATAAGATGAATTTCAAACAACACACTCTTTCCTTCCTGCTACTGCTACAACTATTACTCCTTTCCGTCCCACGTAATTTATCTATATTTTCTATTTTCGTCCGTCCCACATAATTTGTCCTTTTTTTTTTGGAAAATTAATTATACACTTTAATCATATTTTAAAATTTAAATTTTAAATTTTTTTAATCTTAATTAAACTATTTAGTTATCTTAATCTTAATTTATAATTATTTTACTAAATAATAATTATTTTTACTAATATATTTCTTAATTGCTTACTAATTATATTTTACCTAAATTCTCGTGTCTACAGTAATAGACTCATATTACATGGGACGGAGAAAGTATTATTATTACTCCGTCCATTCTATAAGTAAATATATATTTGTTTTTTTCACGTAATTTTAAAAATATTAGTATTATATTGAGATATAATAGGAATGAAGTAGAAATGACTAAAATAATCTTATTAGTATGTGTGATATAAATATAATGACATTTGTGTAATATATTGTAAGTTGTAAAGGTATTTGTAATGTTAGGTAGATAGTACAGTTATTAAAAAAAGGAAATAGATACTTTGTTATGAGACGGAATAAAATGAAAAAATAGATACTTTGTTATGGGACGGATGATATATTATTATTGTTATTATTATTATTATTCCAATGTATGTGTTTTTTTAGTTATTTTTATTGTAAGATATAAAAAAATATAAATATATAATAGAGAATAATATTTTAATATGTATATTTTTGTTATCTTTTAGTGTTTTTTTTTTTTTTTTTGTTGGCCTTTATAGCTATCGGTAGATATTATATATTATATTTTAAAATAATATTAATGGGAATCATATCATTTTGAAAAACGAAACAAACACACTCAGTTCTTCATAATAAGAACATATTTATGGGTTTCTTTGTTTAGTGTTTTATTTTAATGTTTTAATTTTGTTTTGTTTTTAAATTTTTATTTTTATGTGAAGCAAGAAGAATTAGTATCAATAATATAAAAAATAATAGTATTTTATATCGAATGTTAATTTTTTTTTTTGTAAAAAAATACAGTATATATTATATATAATGAGAATTATATTGAAAATATTTTTTCATTGGCAAACAAACCATATATATAATACATATACGACTATTATTTTATATTCCCTCCGTCCAAACTAAAGTATCATATTTATTATTTTTGTCTCTTCTACTCAAAAGTAATTTATTTTATATTTTGGAAAAAAAAAATTATACATTAATATCAAAATTTCATTAACCTTGACTTCAATTACAAATATATTATTACATATAAAATTACTTTATATATAAAATGAAATGGCGAAATTGTCAAAATCTTTTATACTCTTCGACTAACCAATAAAATACTATTCCCCATGTCTAGCCAAACTTACTTTAGTTTGTCTGCTAAATTTACCTTATTATTAATTTTGAAAAAATCAACAAATCAATATTTATCTATTATCCTTCATTCAATATGTATTTTTACAACAAATGTCACTACATTTATTATATCATCTCTCCCATTTTTTTCATTTCTAATTAAAATTTCAAAAATATTTCTAACTATTTTTTTACTTTTATCATTTTTTCAATAAAATATTTTTTTTCTTAATCTCCATACTGGATCCAAATATCAAAGTTTATCGGACGAAGATAATATTATTTTTTAATTTGCTATAAAACCCTAAACGGAGAGAATATATATATATATAAAAAAGTAAAAACTTAAAAAAAAAAAAAAAAAACACACACACTCACAACCCCCCACCCCCACCCCCACCCCCACGCCCTCCTATCTCTCTCTCTATCTATATATATTAATAGTGGTTATAAATAATTGTGTATTTAATTAGGGATGTGTTGAAATGAAGTCCATTAGAATAATGTAATATATGGAAAAGTGTAATTTGCACCCTATTGACACTACACACACACACATATATATATATATATATATATGAATTAAACCAACTCCTTTTTATAAAGTAGAATAACTATTAATTAATTGTGTATGTATATTAATTAATTATATCCTCCCTAAAGTATTCAAACTTTTTTGTTTATAAAAATTGTGAATTTTATATTTATATAAAAGGACAATATATACATATATAGTAGACACAATTTTTATATTGATAAGTGCAAAAAAATGATTTGTATTTGTTTGGTGGTGCTTTGAATGAACTAGAGTGTTGATTTGAATTTTTTTTGTTTAAATGATATTTTAATTTGATATTTTGTGAAAATATATATATATATATATCTATTTTTATTGAAAACCTTATAAACTTAATAGTATTAATTTCATTCGTGGTTTGAATGAAATAGAGTATTGATTTGAATTTTTTTGTTTAAATAATATTTTTATTTGATATTTTGTGAAAATATATATATATATTTTTTTTATTGAAAACCTTATAAACTTAATAATATTAATTTCATTTTGAAATTACAACAAACACACCTAATATGTTTGTTTAGAATTTATACTTTGTAATATTTTTGTTATTAGGTAAGAGGAATTGTATAAAAGTTATAGAGAATAATAATTTTAGTTGGATAAAATTGTTGATTTTTATAGTAGATATATAAATTAAAATGACTCACTAGATAGTTATTTTCTTTTTTAATTTTTTATTTAAATAATTAATAAATTGAAAAAAAAAATGTCAAAGCAAACACCACCTTAACCCATCAATAATTCAATAAAATCCATAGTAAATATCTCTTTTGAGTAGAGCACATCAAATTTTAAAAACACATCAAAATATATTTAACATCATTTTAAATTAGAAACATTCATTAAATATTTATATTTTATTTTATAAAAACATATTATCTATCAAATATTTATTTTTCATTCAAATTTTTGTGTTAAAATTTTTATTTTATTTTTGTAAATATCACTTCAAATTTTATTTTCTACTAAAATAATTTAAAATCTAAAATACCCCGCAACATTAAATTCGAAAAAATCCATGCCATCCTTATAGACATTTTAATCGAGCTCGACATCTTCAAATTGATCAGCAACTCTTCATGCGCGCATTCTTCCACACCTTTGAGCGCGTTTTGATCTTTTTTTTTCCTGATCAATAGTAATAAATTATAAAAATTAGTTCTAATAAATGCAAGAAAATTTTATATAAAGAGATGATGAAAAGTTCAAATACATTCCTTACAAGAAATTATTGTTATTTTTTATTGTTATTATTATTTTTTATTATTTTTAATCTTCTAGGATTTGGGCCATTTTTTTTTTATTCAATTTTTTTACTATGCAATTTATACGATTTTTTTCAAAACATATATTATTTTATTTCATGAAATATTATATTCAATAATTGTTTAACACAAAATATGAACCAAACATACCTCTTGAATTCTTATAAAGACAATTTATTTGTTTGCTATTTAGAGAAGCAAAATTATATATATATATATATATATTTAATTATCAGTACGCATATTTCTTGGATTTAAATTATTTTTGTACTTGTTTTCAATATTTTTGGGCATAATTGATTTTTTATCTTTATTTTTGGAATTGATAAATAGGCATAAAGTTAATTAGATGCTGTCGGAGACCATGCATGCAAATTTTCGACGTGAATGTATTTCCAAATAGTTATTAATATTAATTTTTTTATAACAAAAAAACTCAGGCTATTTTCAATGTGAAATATATATATTTTTGTTTACTTTTTATTTAAATAATAGTTGTCAAATATTAGAGTTCAGTATAAATATACTATTTATATTTCGAATTCTATTTACTTAAAGTTTGATTTCAATTTTTCATAAATTTCTGTAATTAAAACATATAATATTCTGTATTATAAAACATTGTATTTAAATTACTTATTCAAATCAAAACCAAAATTAAAACTAAAGGTGAAGTAAACAAACTCAATTTATAGGCATCCTATGGTTATGCCTTTTTTGTTTTTTGGGTCCAAATTTTACAGTCATAGAAGTCACCGAAAATTACTGCTACGGTCGAAAAATCGTAACTAAACTTATTTTATTGCAAAATACATATATATATATATTAATTACTTGCATGAACTAATTTAATTCAATTAATCAAGATTGGGGAGTTTACATATACCAACATATATATATGGTCAGAAACTACCCAAAAAAATAAATTAAATAAATACAAACAACTGTGTATATGTTTATCTAATCCTCTATTCTCTAATTTATTTCCTATACTATAAATTCTATAACTTATTAACTAAACTTATATATATTTATATATATATATATATGTCTATGTGTGTGATATTGTAAAACCCTAATTAATCCTTAAAAAAAAAAAAAAACAACATTGTCTGTAGTGTGTTGTATGTACTTACAATTTGATTTCTAGCTACTGATGCTTTTCTGATGTTCTTCATCAATGTTGATGATGATGATATATATATATATATCTTTGTATGTATTGCTAACAAATGTCTGTGGTTGAAGCCATCCCTACTTGCAACCATCCTCCATTATCCAAATTCACATCTCTTAGATCACTAAGCTTTCTTAGCTTCACTTCACACTTTTCGACGTCGTCGTCGTTGCTGTCGATTTTTGTCGACTTGATTTCAGTGGAAGAGTTGGCCAATTGTTGTAGGTACAACATTGTCGACGGTGTTTCGTGTCCAATCGTGTTTTCGAGTTGCGGGGAGTGTAGGTTTAGGTTAAGATCGATTTGGTTAATGTTGTTGTCGCGACGATGATCATTTTGTCGACTAGGGTTTGTTGGCATTATCGTTGTCGTCGTTGCCGTTGTTGTTATGACGAGGGGAGTTTTGTAGAATTGTTGTTGGTGTGGTTGGAGATGAATTTGAGGGTTGTAATGAAAATCGTTGAAGTTCGGGATGTAGGCATTATCGGTCGAAGACGTGAGCCAATGGCACCTCTTGTGGCCTCCTAGGGCTTGTCCCGACGTGAATACGCGATGACATACAGAGCATTCGTGCATTTTGAGTGGTCTTTTTCTCGTTGTCGTCGTCGAATTAGTGGAGTCTTGCTCTAGTGTTGTTGTTGTTGTTGTTGTATTCTGTTTGTGACTCTCTTGCATCAAGTCGTGATCGTCGACGACGTCAGTAGAATTGTCGTCGTCGACGACACAATTGTGGGAGCTCTGATCGTCGACTTTAGCTGCAAAGCAACCCTTAACTTTCTTATGGCTAGCTCGATGGCCCCCCAACGCTTGGTGCGACGTGAAAACCTTCTTACAAGCCTTACATTGGAACAATCCTCGCTCGACGACGATTTCCTTGCCCTTGTTTTCATCCTTGTAATGACAAGATTTGTTGGACAACATGACTAGGCAATTGGCTAAATCTTCTTCTTCTCTCGACGTATTTTTCGTCGAGCCCCCCTCATTTCTCGACTCTAACGACTTCTTGCACGTCGACGAATCTTGGCCCCCCGCTCCTCCCTCGTAGTTGTGATGATTACGCGGAATCTTAGCCCGGAGAAAGTAGGGGTGTTTGTATACGTCTCCCTTTGTCGTCGTTGCCGGGTTTGTCCTATTTTCGATGTCTTCGGTAGTTCTTATGTTGATTGTGTTTCCGCCCATTATTACATGGGCTCTCATGTGCCCTCCTAGAGCTCCAGCACAACTAAACCCTCTATTACATACCTTACAATAATGTCTTGTTGTTCCCACATGTCCATGTTCTTGATTTTCTTGGTCATGTTCATTGCTGTCATTGTCCATCAAAGATAGTAACTACAAACATAAAAAACGATTTGTGGGAAAACCCAAAAAAAAAAAAAAAAATATTCCCTTTTGGGTATTTATAATGATGATGTATGTAGAGAGAGATAGAGGTGTAGAGAGAGAGAAGGGTGGCATTGGGTCTAAATGAGGTTATGTATTAAGTATTATATAGTGTGTTTTGTAATGGGGAGTTGGGAGAAGTCCTAGTTTTTAGTTGAAAATTGTTGGTTGGAGGAGAGAGAGAGAGAGTAGGAGTGAGAGTGTGTGATGTGAAGTGAAGTGGTGGTTAGGGGTTATGCGGTTGAGAGTTAATTTCTCACTCTTAGTGGTTTTTCTTGCCATATATAGAGTTTGTTTACTCTTTAATAATTGAAAGACTACATTAGTTTTTCACTTGAAATAGAACTTATTATTATTCAATTTAGATATAAAAAAGAGAAAAAAATAAAAAAAATTGATTATTACTTATTTTTATTTGAAGTATTATTACTTTGTATGATACTTGACAAAACATTAAGTCAAACTATTAGTTATTTATATGTAAAGAAACTATATTTATCTTTTGTATTATTTCTAATTTATTTTTATATAAAACATTATTAGTGTGCATGATATTTGACAATACATTAAGTCAAACTACTAGTTATTTATATGTAAAGTACAAATAAGATTGACTATATTTATCTTTTGTATTGTTTCTAATTTATTTTTATATAAAACATTATTAGTGTGTAATATTTTGACAAAGATATTAAGTCAAACTACTAGCTATTTGTATGTAAAGCACAAATAAGATAGACTATATATTTATCTTTTGTATTATTTCTAATTTAATATTAATAAAATATTATTAGTGTGTATGATATTTGATAAAAACATTAAGTCAAACTACTAGCTATTATATGTAAAGCACAAATAAGATAGACTATATATTTATCTTTTGTATTGTTTCTAATTTAATTTTATCTAATATATTATTAGTGTGTATGATATTTGACAATACATTAAGTCAAACTATTAGCTATTTCTATGTAAAAGCACAAATAAGATAGACTATATTTATCTTTGGAATTATATCTAATAGTCTAGAGTTAATTCCATTGGAATTCCAAAAAAATGGTCACTAAATACACACCCTGTGTGTTTGTCTGAGAGATTTGTTTGGATTTTACTATTCATCCAATTTTTTTTCCCAAAAAATATCAAATCAAACACCTATTTTTCATTTTTTATATTATACTAAAAATCAATTTTACATTCAAAACATCACATCAACACCTATTTATATCATATCATACAACTATTCAAATTCAAATTTTTACTATTCAAATCCCAACTCAAAATCCAAACCCTCAAACAAACACACCCTAAAAAAATTTTAGTTTAAAATATCTTTTGAAACATTACTAAGTGTGTGTTTGACAATTAGCTGATAGCTTTTAACTATTAGCTGATTCAATTAAGCTGTTAATTGTTAGCTGATTCAATTAGCGGTTTGTATTAGAATATTTGGTAAAACAACTGTTTAATATTAGTTGTTTATAAATAAAATGATTATTAAGGACATTGATATGTTATTTTTTAAAATATTTAATTTTGTTTATTTTGGTTTGAAATTTATGATAATTTTTGTTATTAATTATTGAAAATTATAAAAATATTATAAAATATTTATTTTTATTTTTATCTTTAGAGAAAATTATTTTTACTAAAAAATAATAATTTTTTTATTAAAATTATGTAAAATATAAAATAATAAATCTTTCGTATATATATTTTTATTATGTCAATTATTGTTTTAATATATATAAATAAATTAATAACTTTTTTTTTCTATTTGATTTAGTTTTAAAAATTTATATATTTTACAAATAAAATAATTTATATGTAATAATCAATAATATTAATTATTTTAAATTTAGAAAAATAAAAATATAATTTAATAAATTAAATATATTAAAAACAATTAATAAATACTGCTATAAAAATATTTTTATATGTATAAAATAAATAATTAAGTTTTAAGGGTAAATAAAGAATAACCAAAATTAAAATGAAAAAACTCTTTAAAAAATTTAATTTACCAGATACCTAAATTAAATTTTTTGACTGATCAAACAGTTGAAAACTATTCACTAAGCTAAAAGCTCTTAAAAAAACGATTTCCCAATCACCCTCTAAATATAGTAAAACAAAGCATATTATTCCTACAATATTGCATCTATAACTTTTTTCTATGTTTAAATGGTCAACGTTTGTATACCGTGACCATATGTATGAAAGAGAATATTAATAAAATTTACGTTTTTTTTTTTTAACTATAATTTTATCACTTTATCATTTCTTTTATTTTTTTTATAAAAAAATATCTTTAATAAAATTTTACTCATAATTTTTCTATCTTAATTGTTAGTATATTATTTTATCATAAAAAATATAATGTTTAAATACTATTTAAACATAATTTTAGAATAAAATATTATACAACAACTTTAAATTTAATTTTTTATATATTTCTAACATTTAAATTCAATATTTATAATATATTAATATAATATGATATTTTATGAAAATATAATAAAATTTTATGATTTAGATATTTGTTTTATTTATTAAAATATTTTCTTCAAAAATAAAAATAATAGTAAAATTTAATTTAATTTATTTTTTTTAGTTACTTTTTTTTAAAAAAAAATATTATTTGAACATAAAATATTATACCCAAAATAAAAATTAATACCAAATTCAAATAAATTCTTCAAATATTATATAAAAATTGAGTCTAAATAGTATTTTAAGTGTGATATCTTGAGAAAAATAATAATTTTTACAAGAAAATAATATAGTAAAAATTGATATAAAAAAATAATACTGCCTCCGTCCGACTCGAAGTATCTCATTTACTTTTTGCGTGTTGATCTTTGAATATTAATTATTATATCAAAATATAGTATAAATTAATAAAAAATTACAAAAATACTTTCATCAGCGTCTTTTAATACTAATAGAAGGACATTTGTAACAAAAAAATTGTACAAATATAAAAATATTTTAAATGTTAAGTACAATGACACAAAAAGTAAATGTGACCCTTAAAAGCTGACGAAGGGAGTATAATAAAAATTGAGATATAATATAATTTTTATTTTTTTTTTAAAAAAATAAGGAAGTAAATAAAATGTAATAGAAAAACAGATAAATAGATAAAATTAAAATAAAAAAAAAATTCTCTCATTCCATGCGACAACTTTTTTATTGAATGGGACGGAATAGAGAAAATAGAAACAGAAGATTTGATGCCGTACATGAAAATTAGGAACAGTAATCTTCAAAATAGGAATATTTTTTGATATAAAAAATAATAAAATTATATATTTTTATTAATTTGTCTTTCCAAAATTTTAGTTTATAATGTAAAAAAAAATATTTATTTATTGATTTGTACTTCTAACTTTTATTTTTTAAATAAAAAATATTAAATTTTATATAATTTTATTGATTCTTTTTCTCAATATTTTATAAAAGTCTTAAAAGGTCTATATTCTATATATTTGATAATATTTAATATAAATATTATTTTCTAAAAAATAAAATTACATAGACAAATATTAGGGATGACAATAGTATCCAATCAGTGTATTTTTTGGTCAGTCTAATTATTCCAATATCAAGTAGTGTATTATACACTCTAATTAGGTCCATGATCTAAGAGTTGACTCAATCCGATCTATTAATATTTTTAAAAATAATAATAGTTTCTAAAAATATAATTATATTAAAAATAATTTCTTTTAGTTTGATTTATTATATTTTATTGTAACATTTTTAATAAAATACATAAATTCTTATACATATTGGATTGGAGATCGGGTCAACTTGAAGTTAAATTTTTAAAAATATTTTAATATATGGAGTCTATCAAATGTCATAAAAAAATAATAAAATATATACGTATAATTGATATAAATTAATTTTATAAAAAATTTAAATGTATCATTATATATATATATTTGTTTATCTATGAGTAATAAAAATCGAAATAGACCTATAAAATAGTTAATTTCTTGAAATTTTTTGAATAATTATGAAAAAGCAAAAGGCAGTAAGATATTATTGTTGTAATTTATAGAAAAAAATGCATCAAATGTTTATCTAAACCATATAAAAAGTTATCATCCCAAATTTATTGAAGATCAAAATTGTTTATCTATATATATATATATACATACAATTTGATTTTTGAAATTTTAAAAATAACTAATCTTATAATTAAGTAACAAACCCTCGTAGAATTCTCATCCATCCAATTAATTTAAACAAAAACAAATAAAATAAATAAATAAAAACTCAATTATCCATAACCAAAATTAAATCTATAAATTCCCCACATCAAAATTTCACTTTTCCATTCCCCAAATCTCAAAAGCTACAATAAATGGCTAAATCCTTTATCACCTTTCTCCTCCTCTCCCTCATCGCCGCCGCCTCCGCCGCCGCGCCGGCGCAGTCTCCGGCGCCGCCGCCGGAGGACTGCCTGAGTTTGATGTTCAACATGATGGATTGTTTATCGTATCTCGCCACCACCGACGAACCGAAACCCGGACCAATATGTTGTAATGAGTTTAAGGCCGTGGTTTCGGCCAATGCCGGGTGCATTTGCTCGGCGCTCGCCGATTTTCCGAGCATGGGCATCGAGATCAACATGACGAGGGCTATCGATATCTCGCCGGAGTGCGGAGTTTACGATTTTTCCATTATCGACTGTCCCGAACGTACGTACATTTATTTATATATACATCGATATATATAATTTATTTTTTTCTGAAACTAATATGTTATTGTTGTTGTATTTTCAGATATTTCTGCTGCTCCGGCACAATCCCCAGGTATATATGTATTTATTTATTCAATAAAAATAGATAATAATATTTTTTAAAATATATATATATTTAAATAAAGAATGTAGTAATTATTTTATTCATAGTACATCAATTTTTTATTATTTAAAAAAAAATTAGTTTAACTATTTATATAAGATATCCCTAACTAACATTAAATTAAAAAACCTAACTTTTTATATAACATTAAAAATTAATTTATATGAAAAAAATCCATTACTACTTATATATTTACATGAAATAACTATTATAATTTATAATTTTATTATTCAAATCTCAAATTCCTAAATAAAAGAATAGTTATACTGCTAATTTGGTTTATACCGGTAGATTTTACTAAATAATATTTTCTCCGTCCACTTACAAAGTTTATATTTACTTTTGGCGCGGTGTTTAAAAAATAATAGTATTTTAATTATAGTGAGTAGTTAAAAGTAGTGTAACGACATTTTTGCCCTTTTTTTTGTAAAAGTAATGATGTGATGTAAAATAAGGGTATTTGTGACAAAAAGTAGGATATTTAATGAAATGTTAACTTTGTAATTGGACGTCCCAAAGTAGACGATGGAGTATATAAGTATGTTACGTAACAGAATCAACAATAACATCTGTTATTACATCATGTAATACGTTTATTCCGAACTTTTATGACAAATTGTGATAAGGAAAATAAAAAAAAAAAAAAATTAATTATCGGGCGATTAAAATTCAAAACTTCGAAAACTCTTATCCATATAAAACCTGAATCATTGTGTTTTTTAATGTTTGCAGTGAGCAATGGTCCGAGTTTTACTCCGGTAGAATCTCCGGCGTCTAGTTCATCGACATATGCTCCTGCTCCAGCTCCGGCGCCGGCACCAACAAAGAGTCCCGCCGGACGTCTGGCAATTTCCGGCGGCATTTATGCTATTTTCTTTTTCTTAATCGTAAATTTTTATTATCTATTAGTTTGAAATTAATATCTTCTATTTTCATTTTTTAGTATCATATTTTAGGATTCTAATTTTTGCTTTTAGTCGAACTTCTTGATTATTATTTATTCCTAATTTTTCAGTCATTGTAGATATTCTCACCATATTATATTTAAATTTAATTTCAATATTTTGATTTATATAATATATTGCTTCTACTTTATTTAGAACATTATCCAAATAGAAAATGCATAATTAAATATAAAAAATGTCGTATCAATTTTATATTAATTTCATAATTTATGTAATAAAAATATGCGGAGTTTATATTTGAATTTTAAATTGAAATTTGAGGTAATAAATATTTTTATTTTGATTAGTAAATTGATATATAAAGAGGTATAAAATATCAAATTAAATTTTAAGAAATAATAATAATGAAAAAATCAATCAAACACTTAAGAAATTGAAATAATATCCTTCCTCCATAAACAAGATGAAAACTATAACTATATAAGCAGTGTGTGTAAAATAAAATTCCCTCAAAAAAACACACAAATTCATATACATACACATACATATATAATTCAAATTATAATTCCCAATTTAAAATAAAAACAAAAACAAAAAGATCGAATTCATACAGCCAATTGGATGTCCCCGAGATCGAGCTGAGCCGCGATCTCCTCCAGCTGCTTCTTCACGCTCATATCAATCAGCTTCGAGCCGGAATTCCCGTACCTAATAGTGAAGCCGGCTACCAGAGCCGGCTCGATAGCCGTCTTTATCCTCACGTTTTTCGCGCCGGTCAGCATCTGGACCTTCTTAGCTATCTGCGCCAGGTGCTCCTGCTCCAGCTGCACCACCGACGTCACCACCGCCACCTCCGTCTCCGTCAATTTATTGTACGCCGCCTCGAACTCCTTCACGATCTCCTTCACCAGATCTATCCGCTTCATATCCACCAGAATGTTCAGGAAATTCGCCACGTGCGGCTGCAGCGCCGACGCTTGCACAACCTCGTCCAACACCTCGCGCTTCTTCTCGTCGACGACCGTCGGATCGTTGAAGAAGTTCTGAACCGCCTCGTCGGAGAACAACTGCTCGATTTTCTCGACGTCCGCCGCGGTTTGCTCAAGTGTGTTGTTCGATTTCGCAACCTCCGCCAGCGCGTTCGCGTAGCTTCCGGCGGCGGAGTCCGCCATTCTCGCGCCGGAGGATCCGCGGCTGCGGATCCGCCGGAGAGGCTTGACGGTGAGTTTTTGGAGTTTGAGGTTCGATGTGAGGGAGAGTTTTGAGGAGATCGGTTTCGACTGGAGCTTCGAAGACGGCGGCGAGCGGGACCGGAACGCGATTGGCGATTGCTGAAGCGCAGCGGCGGCGGCAGCGGCAGCAGAGGACATTTTTATCGGCGGTGGATTTGGGGAAAAGGGAAAATGGGGAATGCGTGGGGAAGGTGAAGGAGGGTAGTTTTGGATGGAAATGGACGGTTAGGATTGAGTGAGATTGAAGGGACGGACGGTCACGATTTGAAGTAGGATTGGGTGATTGTGGAGAAGGATAGTGCATCTTATCTGGAGGAGATAACGGGAGGACACGTGGCTGTGTTACATTAGCTGAATAGTTTTACTTAGAAATTGACTAAAAAGACCGATAATATTTAGGGTAGTATCCGATTTAGATGAAGGGTAAAATTGGAAATACACTTACCTTGTTTCGTTGGTGCTTTAATGGCCACATCATTTACAATTTACTAAGGGTGTGTTTGTTTGGGGATTTTTCGATATTATACTATTCATTCAATTTTTTTATAAAAAATATTAATTAAATATTTATTTTTTATTACTTATATTACATTAAAAATTAATTTTACATTCAAAATATCACATCGTACAACTATTCAAATTTAAAATTTTTACTATTCAAATCTTAACTCAAAATTCAAATTCTCAAATAAACACATCATAAGAATAGTGATAATTTTGATGGTAGTCAAATATCAAACAATTATATAAATAATATAAAAATAGTAAGAATGTGCAATATATTAATTTTCTTAAAAAATATATTAAATTGTTTTTGTAAAAGAACAAAGTCTTAGAATGGTTTGAGTAGATAATTTTTATTATTTTTAAAAATATTTTTAATGAGAATAATGGAATATATAGAAAAATAAAAGCACTAATAAATTGAGGTAATGCATATAGCAATTTACTTTCCACTTAATTGTTTGCTTATTTATTTATTGCTTCAATTACAATTTGCATCGAAAGTTCAAAATTAAAGCACAAGTAAACGCTACAAATCTTAAACATATCATGATTCAATTACCAAAATTTTAAAAATATAGTAATACTAATTTTTTTACTTAATTTAATTAAAAAACAACTATATTTTATAAAAAAAACATTAAATTAAAACTACAATCACAAAAATTGTAATTTTGAAATAAAAATAAATACTAGATACTCTTTCTATCATCCAAATTTATTATCATTTTTCTTATTCGATTGTCATCTAAATTTATTCTCATTTTTTTTTTTAGTAAAAAATACAATTTTTTCTATAAAATTTATAAAAACTTATATCAAAGCAATGAACATACAATTAGATAAGAGAGAGTATAATATTTTAAATAAAAAATATATCGATATTTATTCTTTTAAACAATCTGGCTCCAAAAGCACCCGTTACACCTCCGGCGACACAAACAATTCAACAAGATGCTCGCCATCTCCTTTTCGACGATCCCAATCTTCTCCCGCTCAATCTGCGCCGCCCGATACTCCGCTGCAGCCGCCACCGGAACAACCACTCTCCGGCACACCGGGCACGTCGCGTGTGGACCCACGAGCAACCATTTCTCGAGACAACGGTGGTGGAACGAATGCCCGCAACCCATAACTCGTCTCACCCCGTCGCCATTCTTGAACTTCGACAAGCATATGCTACATTTGCCGTCGGAGGTGGTGGTGGTGGGCTCTGTTGTTGATCTATAGGTCAAAAGAATGGTGTTTTTGTTGATGATGGACATGTAGTGAAAGGTGCACCTAAAGTGGTTGTAGTGTTTGGATAAAATGCATAGGGACAATATGGTTAGGGTTAGGGCTTGAGGAATAATTTTGAGGAAGAAGAGAGAAATAATGTTGTCTATGCAAGAAAGCACCTTTGGGAAAGATCCCATTGTCATTTTTTTGACAAAGGGATTTTGAGATTTCATTGACATGAACATATATATATATATATATATATATATGGTTGTGGATCGTTTAATTTGAGTGAATCACGTATATTATACATATAACTAATATATATTTATTTAATTATATATAATATAATATAATTATATGTTGATTACCATAGGGCTGATTCGATCAAATCAGCAACGATCAATAGCTAATCCAGTCCATATATATATATATATATATCTTTAACCATGGTGGAGTATTAATTGGGCTTTTGTTTTGTTTTATTTTGTTTTTTTTTTTTGTTTTTTGTTTTTTTATTATTCATTCAATTTGTTGATTTTGAAATTTTATTTTGTAGGTCTTAGTTTGAATAACAATTTAGACTTAAGTTTGTTTCTTTAACTTTAAACGTAATTTTTTACTATTTGAACTTTGCATTTAAAAATATATATATATATATTTTCTCCGTCTCAAAAGAGATGTCTTATGAAAAGTTAGCATGAGAATTAAAGAATAATAATATTTAATTGAAAGTGAATATAAAATAGAATATAAATGACTAAAATACTCATACTTTTTGAAAGCTTTTAAAGAGTATGTTAAAATAATAATTAGAGGTAATTTGAAAAAGTATGAATAATTTTGTTATAAAATGATGACCGTGATTACTAAATAAAGAAACAAGACAATTATTTAAGACGAACGAAAATGAAAAAATAAGACAACTCTTTTGGGACGAAGAGAGTATTTTTATTTTTTTTTTCACAAAATATTTCATCATACATTATTATTTTAATACCAACCTTAAACTAATATTTTCTAAACTACATCAAAAGAACCTTACCCTTAATGTTTCTAAAAAAATATAATATATGTATAAAATATTACAATAATTGAATAATAAAATAAAAACAAATTAAAAAATATTAGTATTATTATTATTGTTGTTGTTTTCTTTAGAGTAATATTTGAGATTGGAGTGAAGTATAAGCCGACACAAATGGATTCACCTAAGCAAAACAAAACTTAGCAGTTTTATTTGTCTTAGCCTCATAACAAAATATTTTGAGGCTGTCTTCACATTGGGTGCAAAATTTTTAAATATATATATATACATCCTTCGTTAATCATACCTGCCCCACAAGATTAACCTAGTACAATTCATATCACTCTAATTTACATACTATTAAATTTGGCCGAAAATTTATTCAAAACATTCTTGAATAATAAGGTTATCAAAATATATACATTTTCACATAGTATTAATATTTTTTTTTATTATTTTTATTTGTCTCAAAATAATAATTTTATAAAAACTTTTGACATTAATAACAGCAAAAAAATCTTTCACACATTTCTTTTTTTTATCAATTATTAATACGATATCTCGTGACCAACTCCGACTATAGTTCCGGAAGAAAAAAGATTATAAGTCAAAAGTAAAACTCACACTCCATGGTATAGAAAAGAACATAACATTCCCACCTGCAACATTTTCAGCAATGCCAATGCCAATGCCGCTGCTGCCGCCGTGGCGGATCAGACAGACTAGAGGCTCTGCTTTCCTGTCCGAAAATTCATCCATCAACACCATATCCACTCTCAAACGCCTGTCTGCAAAAAAAACAAATATATTCTCCGACCTGCACCGGCTTCAATTCATTTCAAAACATCGATAAAAATTAACCGGTATGAAATCGCTGCCACGTGTATTTTATAGAAACAATAAAAACAGAGAATTCACTCTCGTTACAACAGGTATGGTAAAAATCAAAGCAGAAAACACAACATTTCCAAGTTTCCAACCAGAGAACATTCAAATACGTCGTCATCGTTTACCCTGCAATTTTCTTTCTTTTTTTTTTTTTTTTTTTTCTGTTTGGTTCTCTATATGTGTTTCGAGAGGGCTCGAGGTTAAAAAGGCCGTAAATGGCAATAAACCAACCGGGCGAGCCTATGGCACATTCGACACTTTTTGAAATCTATATATTAACATTTGTAACTAATGATTCTCCGCACAATTCATTCACCTGTAATGCAACAAACGTAATGGGAAGCAAGAGAGCGCAAAAGAATGATTAAGGCAGCCCAACTTGGTCGAACATGTTTGAGGGCTCTTCACATAATCGTGCACGAGCATCCCACCTTTTTCCGGGACTTGTCCTGCAGTTTATCTGCAACAATGCCGGCAATTATGAAGATCCAAAAGGCACAAATCAAGCAATTAACAAGAAATGTCGAAGAATTTGGTAAGATCAATTCGGTACAACAGGTTGGTGCGTAAGTAGTTGCAGAAGAGAATTTGAGTGTCATGCAGCAAAAGCATCCGACTCATTTTGTGTTCTTTTTTTCCTTCCTTAATTTTACTATTTAATCTTCTATTTTTTCTACTAAAGCATCACATTTGACTCCTGCATACTAAACAAAGCATTACATCCAACGATTATTTTCAGCTTAAAAACATCAAAACCAAAAACAAAAAAAATAAAAACAAAAATACGAAGGACAAAATGCATCCTTCGGAAGGAAAATGGAGTGTCTCATAAAATTGTTCGGTTCACAAAAACTTTAGTAGAACTGGTAGAGATTACTATGTTTGTTTGTGTTTCCAAACACATTTTTTTCTCTAAAAACATCATATACAAGTTATCCAACATATATTTTCCGTTAATAGAACTTCAAATCCAAACCATCAGAACACAACCAAACACACCGCACTTACTATAATGCAATTAGATAATAATCTAGGACTATTTTAATTGATTAAACTACATTAACTATTTCATAATTTAGCGAATTAATCAAGATGTTTCATCGAATCAAAGAATTTTCATCTACTAAAGAAAACATGTGATTGGATAGCATAAAAAGAATCATCCAATACATACTCGCATAAACTAAACAAGTACAAAATAGAAAGAATGAACAAAAAGGAAATAATAAGTTCAAGTCTAGATGGAAAAGTGTTTCTTGATCACTGAAAAGATGACATGTGAGCCTTTTAAGTAATGTTTTGTTCTTCATTAAAAGCTAAAGTTCTGTTCTTCAGTAAGAGTCCAAGAAAATCTTAGACCTTGAATAATTTTCTATATACACAGTTTTTCTTTTTCACCTTTATAAATACAATTTACAAAACCATTTCAAACAAAAAAATAAGGGCAAAATTGTTTTTTTTTAATAAAAAAAAACACTATTAAAATTATACCACCTAACAGATCATTCCACGGAGGGAGTATAATTTAAAACATCTAAAATGGCACTGTTGCTGAAGGCTATAGAGCTTACGGGTAAACAAATATTACCTTTATGCTTGTCTGGAAGGGGCGGACGCACAATAGCATGCATTGTGATGACTCCTCCTGGAACTTCACTAAGTGGAGTTCGTGATTCGGCAACCGTCATATTATTTTCCAGTATCTTTCCCGCATTGATCAGCTTTATATCATTTATGGATTTAGGACCGTTTTCTTTGTCTGTAGTATAAAGGTGGTTAACAAGGAGGACAAAATATTCTGTGCAAGATATCATCTTATTAGTGAATAAAATTATCTACTAATATGTCATACGGCGCGAGAGCTCCTGTAATTTGATGAAGGGAACCTCTCAAATTGGATATTATATTTTCATTTTTGTTAATTATTAATTTTTCCTTCTCAAGATCACATCAAGGTGAAAGAAAAAATAATCCTGAGCATCCTTAAAGTAAACATACAACCGAAAAAGTTCCTAGATTAGGAGAGCTGTCATTAAACAATATTTTCTCTTTAATTGAAAAGGAAGATCAAAGTATAAGAAGAGACAAAGTTAAGAACTTTTGGGTCTGTTTCTTTAGATCAATTTTCCCAAGTTTTACTATTTGAATTCTGCACTTCCCGAAAGAAATACACTTTTCTACCTCACAAAATATCACATCAAACATCATTTTAGTACCAAACTCAAACCAAATTTTTCCAATCTCAACCAAAAGAAACACACCCTTAGGTTCACTAGAACTATCATCGCTCTAGCCTCTAAGATAACTTCATATAAATTTGAACTCTTCTCTCAATTAAGAAAGATACACAGGGGATAAAGACTTTTTCATTTCAGAAATGAAATCAATCAAAATTAGTTTCTCTATTAGATTACTTACGGCAGCTATTATTGAACCAAATTGAGAGGGTTCTACTTACCTTAATATATATTCACTCAAACTTTAGTTAGACATTTGGCGAGGTAAAGAATATATCAGCACAAAAGAAAAACATAAAGGAAATTCAAAAACTCAAAACTTTTTCACTCCACTTACACTAAGGAAGAAAGAAGAGCATTGAAAGAAAATAAAATCAAAATAGTATAGCAACTCAATCGGAGAAACATATAATGTGGAAACTGATCAAACAGAAGAGCGTAAGAATGCAACGTTTGTAACTTCTTTCGCTACTTAACTGACTTTCATGTGAGAAATACGTGTTCGGTTCAAATGCATTATATCTACTTTCAGTTTTAGTTTCAGGAGCTTCTTATCAACGAGTTATTCATATTTATTTTTCCAGTATTCTCTTTCTTTTACTCAACAAATCCTTTTATACCAAATGCAATATTACTTTACACACTTGCAACAAGTATGCATTATGTATATTTCTTTCCACCAGTATAGCTACAACCAATCCACAAGTATTAACAGATATGAAGTTAGATAATGGAACCTAAGAACACTATAAGCATGCTGTGAAATCCCAATCTCAATTTCATTCATCAAACTTAACTACAGCACACAGAAACCGAAAATCACTTGTCTACAAAACAATGTAGATCAAGTCAATTGCTGAGACAATTCTTATTCACAGGACAAACTATAGTTACCAAATCTCATCGCTGAGCATAAACAATAAAAAAATAAGTAAAAAAATATCCGGGGATTGGCAAACACCTCCTGGTTTCCCAATCATTTGTGAATGGTGATTAGCTTTCTATGCCAGAAATTGAATGTTTTTGTTTACATTTTTTTATCTTTTTTCCTTTTTTTGGCAATTTCATAATGCATTTCTTACCCCTAAACAACATTAAATTGAACTACTATTTTCCATTCTAAAAATTCCAAATCCAAAGGAACACATCCAAAATCAAAAGTAGAGAAACATATATCAACAAAGAATACAACATATTAGTTCATAAACTTCAAGTACAAAAATAGCCAAAAAGTCAAAACAAGATTACGAAAAATGATAAACAACAAATCAAATAGGCAAACGATCAACTTCGGGGCAGAAATTGTCAATAAAGCATCAAAACACGTATATCAACAAAACAGAAATCGATAACCTTTTGGCCATTGAGCAATAATCTTTTCCTTTAGCGACGCCACAGTTGCACTAGTCTTATACTTGCTCGGTCCAATATCAGTGCTATCAGCAAGCCTAAATTTAAGCTCAACCAATTCCTCCACAGCCATCAATCAAAAACCCTAATAACACTCTGTATACAATAAAATCCTAAAATCTTCACTTCAATTTGAAATAAAATAAAATAAACCCTAATCGCCACAAAACACCCCGACCGTACACAAAACCCTAGATCACAACCGAACAGAACTACCTTTGCTCGAAAAATCACGAAATACAGAGCAAATAATACGAACGAAGCCCGTTTTCAACACAAACTAACCAGAGAAGCCTCGTTGAACAACTCCATCGAAACAATCAAACCCAGACAAAAAGAAGAAATTTCGACTTTGTGGGTTTCGAATTCAGGAAGAAGATGCGTTGACTGTGTGAAATTTGTGCAGGAGATTGCAAGAACTAATCAATCAATTGAATGGATCGATCGATCTATCCATCAATCAACCAATCGTGTTAGCTCGCCGAAGAAGAAACTGCTTTCGCTTTGAATACCTATTAACTATTTATTGCCAAATATTTGAGATATATATACAATATGTATATATTTAATTATTACTATTTGGTGGTGTTTTTAACAATAAGACAAATATGATAATGCAATATGTAATAAAATAATTGTAAATAAAATAGGATGCTATATTTAGGTTACATTTGGATATATTTTGAAATCTTTGGATTTTTTATTTATTTTTTGGTTTTAAACTTTAGTACCTTTTGTTGTCCGCGTTAATTACGTTATTTTATTTGAATATAAAAATTAAAATTATTTTAATATAAAAATACGATAAATAAAAAAATTATTATTTATTAAAGTATAAAATTATTTAAAAAAAAATTAATAATTAAATTTTTGAAATTTTAAATAAATAAGTAAACTCAAATAAAAATAAAAAATAATAATAAATTGCTAGTTGGGCTTCTTGCATTTTTCTGAGCCAACTTTGATTTATCTATGTTGGCCCAAATCATTACAAGTTTATTTATGAGAATAGATGTGAAAATTATATTCCGATCTTACATATTTGGGTCAGATGATCCCTTTAGTTAGACATATAAATTGTGATATTATTTCATTATTTTTTATATGAGCAGTGTTATTGATATTTTAAATATTATATTTTAATAAAATATATACAATATGAATATTATTTTGTAAATAATAAAATTTTATATAATATAAATAAATAAATATATTTATTTATTGATGAGAAAAATAAAAATAATTTTTTTTTAATATATCCTATGTAAAATATAAAAAATTTATTTATATTTATTAAGTATATTTAAATGAATAAATTTAGTTAAGAAAAGAAGTCATCTTTTAACAAAAAAAAAAAAAGAGTCATCATTTAATAAAAATTAATTAAATACATGTATTGTACTCCTTCCGTCTCACTTCTCATATCCACTTTTTTATTTTCGTCTGTCGCACTTATTTTGTCATTTTTTTTTAAAAAATAATTATACACTTTAATCTTATTTTTAAAATTTAATTTATAATTTTTTTAATTTTAATTATACTAATCAATTATCTTAATCTTAATCTATAATTATTTTTATTATTAAATAATTATTTCTACTAATACGTTTTTAATTATTTACTAATTATACCCTTTCTAAATTTACATGTCTATAGTAACACGGACAAAATATTCGAGACGGAGGGAGTAATATTTTTAAAATTATAAAATATAATTTTATATACTAAAAAGTAAAATACCAACATGTATTAGTTTAAAACAAATTTGAGTATGATGATATTGATAAAAACATTAGTCCCTATCACCCAAACACTCTGTACCATTTTCTTTTTGGTATGTCCCAAACACTTGCAATATTTTCAAAATAGGAAATAATTAATTATACTTAATCTCTACCCCATACTTTATCCATTCACATCATACAAATAAAAGAAATAAAATATATATTTCTCTCTCCATCACATCACCTAAATTATCCTACTTAATAATACCCACCTAAAAACTCGTGTCAAAAACAAATGTTGCACCTTGTTTGGGACGGAAGGAGTATTATTTTATTGTATTAATAAAAATATTTATGATTTCGATTTTGCTATCAACGCAAGAGGCACATACGTGCATCAAACCAGAATGTGTTGTGAACACTTTCATTTTTAGCTTTTTATCTTCTCTAGAGAAGCAAAACTTAAACGGATGTTTTTTTGTTTTTTAAAAAAAAAGTGATAATATGCCGCCGCTATTCGACGAGTATTTTTCTTTTTAATTACTTCCATGGTCGTGCCTTGTGGCACGGCAGCACCAGGCTCAACGAGCTATCCACGGAGATGCATAAAAAAGTCATTGTAAATTAATATTAAAATACTTTTAATTTTTATATTGTTGGGATATGAAGCATAATTATATCCTAAAATCTAAGGATATGATTTGAATATTATATTTTAGATTTTAGAGATATGATTTGGATATTATTGTCAAAGGCTTACGCTATAAATATCCATGTATTTTCACTTTAACATGTGCCTGCGTACTTTATAGTAAAATTCCTGGCTTGGCAGCGCCCCCAGACGTAGATCATCGTGATCGAACTGGGTTACTAAATTCTTGTGTTCTTTTGTCCTTGTTATTTCATCTTGATTTCCTGAAATTTTCATAACAAGTGGTATCAGAGCCTAGTTCGTTGATAGGGTGGATTGAGAGGAATCGGACGTTGGATCGTTGTGGGAATCCCTTGTGACCTGCGGAGGTGCCTTGTGTCGAAAGTCTCCTGGCGGTGTTGGGTCGGTCCCGACTGGTAGGTCAGGCAGCGAGTCCCTTTGTGATAGGCGGTGCAAGGTTGGTAGGGAAGGATAAGGGTTTCGGCAAACGCAGCGGAATATCCGATGTGCTCTCATATCAAGTGAACCTTAGGTTTGTTTGTGGGAGTCAAGATGGGTGATCGTCATGTTGTCAAGGTATTCGATGGTATGAACTTCGATTTCTAAAATATGCATATAGAAGATTACATGAATAGTAAAGATCTAGATGCGGTATTGAAGGAGAAATCCGAAGACATGGATGAAGCCGAATACAAGAAGATCAACAGGAAGACGATGAGTGCGGTTCGACTAACCCTTTGGGAGAATGTTTCGATTGAATTTAGATTTGAGGCAAAAGGAAAGGGTGAAGATCAATAATGGTCAAAGTTAAAGCCGAAGAATAAGGACAAGGAAGATGCAAGTCAGGTGGTATATTGGAACTGCAAGGGGCACTTGAAACGACAGTGCAGGGCGACGGAGAAGGATCAGGGTTCAGCAAACGCAACGGAGGAGATATCCGATGCGCTGATTCTGAGCGTCACCAGTCCAATGGAGTCATGGATTTTGGTCGAGTGTCATTCCACTCATGCAGTGATTCGAGAATCATGGAATCCTATACCACAGGTAATTTTGGTGTTGTCTATCTTGTAGATGATGAGACATTGAAAATTGTAGGTAAATGAATGATTCGAATCAGAACACCGAATGGTGGGGAGTGGAGATTGGATGAGGTATGTTGAAGTGGAAGATGAAATCAGTCTTCAAGTGGGAGATTGTTGGGATATGAAGTCTGATTATATCCTAAAATCTAGGGATATGATTTGAATATTATATTTTAGATTTTAGAGATATGATTTGGATATTATTGTCAAAGGCTTACGCTATAAATATCCATGTATTTTCACTTTAACATGTGCCTGCGTACTTTATAGTAAAATTCCTGGCTTGGCAGCGCCCCCAGACGTAGATCATCGTGATCGAACTGGGTTACTAAATTCTTGTGTTCTTTTGTCCTTGTTATTTCATCTTGATTTCCTGAAATTTTCATAACATATATAAATTATAAACATATCATCACAGCATATACATAAAATACAAATGACAAAAATGTTAAAATCATATTACACTTTTCACTAACCAATAATATACAATTATTCCTTAATCTACTAAAAAAAATTAAAATGGTGCATTTCTCTCGTAAAATATTACTCTCTCCGTCTCATATCTATATATCCATTTACTTTTTGCACAAAGTTTTAGAAATATTAGTATTATATTGGAATGTAGTAGAATTAAAGGTAAAAAGACTAAATTGCCCTTATTAGTATTGTATGATATAAAAGTAATGACATTTGTGTAATATATTGTAAATTAGAAGGATATTTGTAATGTTAGGTAGATAGTACAGTTATTAAAAAAAATGAAATGGATACTTTGTTATGGGACGGACGAAAATGAAAAAATAAAAAAATTAAGGGACAGAGAGATAGTATATTGAAATACTAATTAAATTAAAATTCAAAATCATCGATCTAATTTCAAATTAAAACCAAACAAAATCTATACTTATACATACAATATATATATATATAGATGGATGGATATACATTGTTTGAGTGGGTATAATTAAGCCTAAAATGAATGAATATGGATACTATATAGTATATATATATATATGTATATATTTAATTTGATAAAAAAAACAACTAATAATTTTAATCTAACAATGGAAATGAAAATAAATTAATTCCCATATATACATATAAAATAGTGAGATGAAAGGTTAAACTAAATAATCCCTTTTTTCTAATTTTAGAAATTTCTTTCAATAAAATTTTATTGAATTTCAATTTACATATTCATGAACTGTCCCAATGATTACCCAATAGGAATATGCTTAATCACTTCCCATTTCTCAATATTTTTATAAAATTATTTGGTGATTATTATTATTTGAAATAATTGTTGAATTGATATTTATAAAAAAAATAAATAATATAATATATTTTAAAAAGTGTAGAGTTTGTTTGGTTTGAATTTTAATTTAAATATTTGTTTTTGATCGAGTCATATGTATTCATTTGACTTTTACACGTTGATTTATATATATATTAATATTTTATAGATGTGAGATGTAATTTTTTTTTTACCATTGACAACAATGATATTAAAAGAATAATGAGAAAAAGTAAAAATATTTTGATATTTAGTTTGAAGATATTCTTATTAAAAGAAAAATAAATAAATACATTTGATTTGGAGAAAATAATAAAATAGGAAAAGAATGGAAATATATTTTTATTAAAGATTATTTTGACTGAATAATGATGATTTTGATTTGAAAATATTATTTAATTTTTATTTTTTTTGTTAATAGTAATATTTCATCCGTATCATAACAAAGTATCAATTTTTTCATTTTAGTCCGTTCCATAACAAAGTATTCATTTCATTTTTTTAGTAACTATACTATCTACCTAACATTACGAATTCTCTTACAACTTACAATATATTATATAAATGTCATTATTTTTATATCACACATACTAATAAGGTTATTTTAGTCATTTCTAATTTATTTCTACTACATTCAAATATAATACTAATATTTCTAAAATTACGTGAAAAAAACAAATGAATATCTAGTTATGGGACTGAGGGAGTATCATTTATCAATAAGTTCTCCATCATATTTATAGTAAATTCGTACATCAATCAATTTCGTCGGATATTTCAAACTCGTCGGTATCTTCTTCGCATAGAATTTTAACCATTATCTTGAATTATTTTTATATAAGTATTTTATTTATTGATCTTATATTTATCTTATGGTTAATTGTAGGCCAATATTGGTGACAATTGTCGATGGTATTGTAATTTTTTGATTTATTTTAATTAATAGAGTATGAGTTTTGTTTGGTATAACTTGTTCGTCATTTTGGTATATTATTACTTTTAGTATTTTTGTATATATATATATATATTTAATTTGAATATTATTTGATTCCATACTTATGTTATTGGACATGCTTTTAAAGTTTTACATACAATTATAAATATAATTAAAAGTATTATTTGTTTTTTGCACGTGAATTTTTAATAATAGGTTGCAGTAAAAAAGATATCTCTGTGCAGTATAAAAGTAATGATATTTGTATAATATATTGAAAATTGTAAATGTATTTATTATATTAGTATCTATACAATTACTAAATTAGAAAATAATATCTTTATTTTGAAACGGACATAAATAAAATACAAAACTATTCTTATGGAACAAAAGAATTATTTAAATCTACATCCAATTTCAAATTAATTTTCAATTTACAACCAAACAAATCATTTATATGTATATAGCTTTTGGATTGATTTTGAAAAATTATTTTGGCTTCTACTTAAAATAAATAAAAAAATATATATATTTTTTTACTTTCTAGAAGCATAGTAGTAATGATAGTGTTTTTTTTTTTTTTTTTTTTTTTTTTTTTTTTTTTTTAAAAAAAAAATTTGTAGGGAAAAAAAAATCAGATTAAATTTCAAAAATATTTTGATTTGTCCATCTCTAACTAAAGATGCAATGAATCTGAGTAGCTCCAATACACAATACTTGACCCAATTAAAATATAAATTATTAAGTCATATATTATATTAAAAAAAATTTTAAAAAATATTATATATTACTTTCGTTCAGTTTTAAAAATTTTATTTATTTTTTGCGTCATTGTACTTAATATTAATTGTATTCTTATATTTGTATATATATATTTTTTGTATAAATATCATTATAATAGTATTATAAGACACTTATAGAAATATTTTGTCATTTTTTCTTAATTTGTACTATCATTTTTATATAATAATTAATATTGAAATATCAATATGTAAAAAGCAAATGAAACTCTTGAAACCGGACGGAAATAGTATTTATTATACTAAATGAGACCCTTGAAACCGGACGGAAATAATATTTATTATACTAAGTCAAAATATTTTTCATGCTAAAATAAATAATATATTATGCTTTCACCATAAATGCTCGATGGTTGAAAAATAACCACTCTGCAAATATAGTAGAAAGGGAGTGATGATAAATTATTAAAAAAAAATAAAATAATAATATATTTATAATTTTTGAGAAAATATAAAGATATTGTTCCTATGATTATATTTATTAAATTAAAAAATAAATATATTGAGCTAAACTGAAATAATAAAATGAATATAGAGATTATAAAAGAAAAATTTTTGTTGTTCTTTTATATATTACATAATTTTCAATTAAAAAATATAAATTTATATTTTTAAAATAAAAATATGCTCACAATATATTTAAGAAATAATAATAAAAATTTAATTCATCCAAATAAAAGGTTTGTTTGGTTTTTATTTAAGTTGAAGCGATGATTTGAATTTTAATTTAAATCATATTTTGATGTGATATTTTATAAAATAAAATAATATATTTTTATTAAAATTTTTACTTTTGATATAAATAATTTTATTATAATACTTCCTCAGTTCTACATAATTTGTTTTTATTTTTTATTTTCCTCTATCCCACATAATTTTTTATTTATTTTTTTAGAAATACTTTATTGTACACTTTAATTATATTTTAATTTTATTTTTTTAAATTTTAATTAAACTATTTAATTATCTTAAATCTTAATCTATAATTATTTTTGCTAAATAATAATTATTTTTATTAATATACTTTTAATTACTTATTAATTACTCCCTCCGTCCCAATACAATAGTGTTGTTTACCATTTTTGTCCGTCTTAAAACAATAGTCTTATTTCCATAAATAATCATATCACCATAAAACTACCCTTATTTTTTTTATTTATTACACAATAGTCACTATTTTTTACACTAACACACTCGCAAAGGCAAAAAAAAATCTTTTATTCATACTTTTACTAACTATCAATATAATATCAATATTTTTTAAATTTCGTGTCCAACCCAATTAATACTATATTTATGGAATAGAGAGAGAATATTTTACCTAAATTCCCCTACGGTAACACGGCCATTTTATCTGGGACCGAGGAAGTATTAAATTAATATTTTAAAATAAAATAAACTAAAAATAATATTTAAGACGAATGAAATATATATGTAATTTTTTTAAAATAATAATAATTAAAAAAAGAATAATTATCCAAAAGGATTTAGATTTTGAATCCTTAGCTGTCACTCACCATGTTTCTCCTTCTTCAATGCCCTCTGCAACTTCCACCGAAACCCTCGCCAATACATACACACACTACTCCATTTCTCTCTCTCTCTCTATATATACATGTGTATTTACCCCTCTCTCTCTCTCTATATATATATAATAAACCTCAGCCGCCATGCAAATCCACAGACCAACAATTTTCTAATATATATATATATCAATGCGGAGCTTCGATTTCGACGATTATTTGGGGGTCGAGAGCTGCGCGGATCTAAGGTCGGAAATCGACGCGCCTCCGTGCGGCGGAGACAGGATCGGCCGCCGGAGGAGCTTTTCCGACGCGGCGGAGAAGGAGTTCCCGCCGCCGATTCCGTCGGCGACGGCGGCGTGGGTTATGAGAAAGTACTACACCGACGACGGGAGATTGGTGATCAGAAAGGAGACGATGGAGCGCCACGACTGTGTCCGAGCATTCCGCCGCGACGGCCGCCTCGTGCTGAATCTAGTGCCGCTCGGCGGCGGCGGCGGTGGTGGTGATGGTGAGAGTGAGGAAGATGAGGGCGGTGCGGCGGTTACGAGATCACGTGAGTCTCGCGTGCAAGCGGTGGACGGCTGCGATGAGGGCAGATCTAATCCGACGGTCGGGAATGTGGCTGCGGAGTTTTGTAGGTTTAATGAGAGAGCTTTGACGCCGTGCGGCGGTTTTGCGGTGGAGGCTGCGGCGGCGCTCAGGCCACCGGTGACCATATAGTCATCGATTCGATTTTGTAGTCAATTTTAATTGTTGTTTTCCAATCCCTTAATTAGGGTTTTAAAAAATTGGTGTATTTTTTAATTGCTGTGTTTCTAAATTTCATTTAATTTAACATTCAAATGAGAAAAAAAGAAAACCCATTTTTTAATTTTATTTTAATATATTGTAAGTTGTAAGAGTATTCGTAGTACTAAAAAAAATAAATATTTTATATTATATATATATTTCTTTTTTATTTTAATGTATGAAAAATGGTAATAAAAAGTAATTGATAGCTTAAATAATATTTTAATATAATATTTGGTAAGAAATTACTATAATTTTTAAAGTTAAATTAAACATTTACATATAAAAATAAAAAGTCAAATACCCTTTGTTTTCTTTTAATTTTTTTTAAAAGAAAAATATATATTGTACAATTTTCCTTGATGTAATTCTTTTTATAAAATAATATACAAAATTTAAATATTAAAATTTGAAAAAATTAGAAAAAAAAATCTGAATAATTTAAATGTTGGTTTTAAATCATAAACAAACAAACAAACCCACTTATATATATATATATATATATAATAAATCACATTTCTAAATACTTTATTCCAAAATAAATTATAAAAAGATATTATTATATGTACCAAATCATTTGATTATTAATTTACATGGAAAATTATTTAAATAAAATGTTAAGTGACTATAAAACGAAAACATTAATTGAGAATTTACAGCTAGCTAATGGCAATTAATCATTTGGCTGTATGTATTTATATATATATATATATATATTCTTTTTTTACAGAAAATTCTTGATTTAATAATGGAAAAAAATCATTTTTAGTCTCAATATAACCAAAATACATCAATTTTGGTTTCAATATATAAATCTTATCAATTTTGGTCTCAATATAACCAAAACTCATCATTTTTTGTCATAATATAAAATTTTTATCGATTTTAGTCCCAATATAACTAAAACTCATCATTTTTTGTCTCAATATAATCAAACATTATCTTTTTTGGTCTCACTGTCAACAAACCGACGAAAAATATTGACGTGAAAAGAAATCAAACATTATATTTATATTTAAAGAAATTGCACAATCTTGCAAGTTCATGTCAGCATTTTTCGTCGGTTTGTTGACTATGGGACCAAAAAAAGATAAAGTTTGATTATATTGGGACAAAAAATAATTAGTTTTGGTTATATTGTGATTAAAATTGATAAAAATTTTATATTATGACCAAAAATGATGAGTTTTGGTTATATTGATACCAAAATTAATAATATTTATATTGTGATCAAAATTGATGAATTTTGATTATATTTAGACAAAAAAAAAATAATTTATTCCTTTAATAATTCATTGGATAGAACCTAAAATTTAAAATCAAATAATTTGTATGATGCAATGCATATATTTTTGTTGCCAATATTGACAAATAATTAAATGGAATAATTAAAAGCTTATATTTAATTTTCTACAACGGATATGGAAATTTACACATATATGGCTCATTTATTTATATTGATTTCAAATTTAAAGTTTGAAGGATTTCTTCGGTTTGCAATTTATTTTTTTATTTTTAAATATATATTACTCCATTACTTAAGAATAAATTTTTTATTTGACTTTTGCAGCGCGAATTAAAGTAAATTAGTATTTCCTCTGGTCCATTTTAAAGGGGCTTTTTGAAATTTTTTATTATATTAAAAAATAATAGTATTTTATTACTTAGTGAAAGTGCAAGAGGTTTTGATATTTTTGTCATTTGATTTTATGTATAAAATAATTGTATGTGTAATGGTATGTTTATAATTTAAGTAAAAATTAAGGGTATTTTTATATTAGTGTATGAATTAGGACGAAGAAAGTATTAAATATAGTGTAATAAAATCGTGTAATATCTATTTTACCTGTAATGAAAAAAATTAAAAATTAAAGAGTATTTTGGTTTTTAAATTTGAGTTAATTTTTTTATAAAAAAAAAATGAAAAGTTTTTATTATAAAATGAGTAGTTTACTTTGGACAGAAAATTATTCTATATCATAAATATTATACTTATTATGTCCCAAAATAAATGACATTTTTAAAAGAAAAAATTTAACTTTGTCCAAAACTAATTACATTTTTTATATTTGGTAAAATTTATTAATTCAAAATATATTTAATAAATACAAATTAACTTACTTAATTTTATAACATACAATATTATACTTTATATAGTATCTACTCAAAACTTTTTTTTTAATCTATTTTTATTAAAAAAATATTTTTTATTTATATTTAAAATTGTACGGTTTTTCATAAAAATTAGTTTATAATATACTTTATATAGTACACATTTCTATAAATATTAGATTTATAGTTAATGTTTAAGATAAAAATCAAAATAAAAAAAATAAATATATTACACACATTTATTATTTTTATATTATGTACGCAATTCTTTATATTTTATATATATAATTTTTCCTTCAAACTAAAATACAAAAGAAACACACGTTTTAAATGTATACAATTTGGTAAAAATATTATTAAATATGTATATAGTATATACAATAACTATATATACCAATAAAAATTTTAAAAAGCCATAAATTATTATTATTATTATTATTATTATTACATTTGCGATTACTGATACCTTATATAAAAAAAACACTTATGGTGTGCTTGTTTGAGAATTTGGAGTTTGAATTGAGATTCAATAATAAAAATTTTAAATTAAAATAGTTGTATAATGTGATATAAATAGTTGTTGATGTTATATTTAAATATAAAATTAATTTTTAATATAATATAAAAATAAAAAATATGTATTTGATTTGATATTTTTATAAGAAAATTTTGATGAATAATAAAAATTTTGAAAAGTTTGACAAAAAAAATAATATTTGTGAAAAAATATAATATATTACTCCATCTGTCCCAATACAATAGTCTTGTTTACTATTTTTATCCGTTCCAAAATAATAATTTTATTTTCATAAATAACTATATCACTGTATAACTACCTTTACTTTTTTATTATTATTACACAAGTCACTACCTTTTACATTAATACACTTATAAGGGCAAAAATGTCTTTTACCTATATTTTTTACCAATTATCAATATAATATCAATATTTTTTAAATTTCGTGCCAACACAACCAAGATTATAGTTTTTGGACGGAGGGAGTATATATTAAGAATTATGTTAGTAAAAACATTATTTAAATGAACAAAACCATTATTTACCTTCCACTACATTGATTATTACTTATGTAAAAACAATATAAATTAAAAGTTACAAAATGTGAAAAAGAATACAAACAAATAAATGTACGGTTGAGCTTTATTCAAGTATTATTCTTTTTTATTTATTTTAATAATTTAAACTTAACAGCATAAAAACATTTTTTATAAAACAATCGTATTTAATTTTTTTCATGTGTCTCTAAGAATATATTATTTCATTATTTTAATTTATCTATTAAAAGTATGCTCATACCATATTTATATAAAAAAAAATTAAAAATATTCTTTAAATTTCTATTAATTGATTTTTCTCTATTTACACTATTGTCACTTATTAATTCCATACATATTTCTTACACATATTTTATTTTAATTAAAAAATTATATTACCAATCTTATAAAAACCACAATTTACTCTTGTAAAAATAAAAATTAAATTAAAAAATTATCTCATTTAATTTTCATATTAAAAATTTCACACACTTTTAAGAGATTATTTGTCATTGGAGCCCATAAATATTGGGCCGGCCTCAGCTCTAAAATGGGCTATTGGTTAATTATAATTTTCACAGGCCCATTTAAATTGTTCTTCATTTTTATTAAATCAATTACTATTTATATTGTTCCAAAGTTTTTACAAATTATACTATTTTGAAAAAATTTACATAAAATAAAAAAAAGCAAAATTTACATATGTAAGTAGTTATTTTTCAATTTTGGATGATCATATTTTATAATTAATATATATATATATGTATATTTGCTATTTTAAATTGTTTAAAAATACAATATTAATATATATATTATAAACTCTACTGCATATTACAAATACTTTCACATTTATATTATATCAAGTGCAAAAAAAATTTATTAGATTAAAAAAAATACAATTAATTGTTATTAAAATATACTCCATCCGTTCCAAACACCGTGCAACATTTCCTTTTTGGTATATCCCAAACACCCTGCAACATTTTCAAAATAGAAAATAATTAATTATACTTAATCTCTGCCCCACACTTTATCGCATCCCATCACCCAAATAAAAAAATAAAATATATATTTTTCTCTCCATTACATCACCTAATTTCTAAATTATCTTACTTAATATTACCCACTTAAAAATCCGTGCCCAAAACAAATGTTGCACCTTGTTTGAGACGGAGGAAGTAATATTTATTAAACTCCGTACTAAATACTCTTAAAAGGATCAAAAGTAGTATGGCAAAGGTGAAAATAAAAAATAAAATTGATCATGTATATATATATATATATATATATGCTCGATTATAGCTTTTACTTTATAATTTTACATAATTAAAGTATATAAAGTATATACTCCCCCGTCCCAAAAGAATTGTCTTGTTTTTCCATTTTCGTCCGTCCCAAAACAATTGTCCTGTTTCCTTATTTAGTAATCGTGATCACCACTTTATTACAAAATTATTCATACTTTTCCAAATTACACATAATTATTACTCTAACCTACTTTTTAAAATCCTTAAAATATAAGGACATTTTAGTCTTTTACATTCTATTTTCTATCCACCTCCCAACAAGACGCTTCTTCTGGGACGGAGGCAGTATATATTATATATATTATGTTAATATATATAAATATTGTAATTTTTGGGGATTAGTATCACTAAAAAAACACATAAATCCAAAAATACAAATTAAACTATCATTACATTTAGTTTAAAATTATATAAAGTTTAAAAGTGTTTTGATATTAAAAAAAACAAACAAAAAACAAAAAAGTAATAATAAAGGGTAACAATAATTTAGTTAGGAAAGGGTCATTTTCATGTAATATTTGTGGGTTTCTTTTTTTAATAGTCAAATTAAATGCACAATTCAAGTAATGAAAATGAAATTATTATAAGTATAATACTCGCTCTGTTCTAATACAAT